GTGCAGCTGCCCTGAAGGGTGGAGCGATTAGCTGGAGCTGCTTGTCAGAGCTGTGATTGTGATATGAGGAGAGCCCGGGGGGTGTCTGAGCCCCACCCCCATGCGTGAGATCAAAGGAAAGGGGCGCACATGCCGTGTGAAGGAGCCAGAAAGCCCAGCTTTGGCCCAGAGTTCTGTGAGACGCAGAGAGGCTAAGTGACTTGCAGACAGACACGCAGGGAGCCTGTAGCAAAGCAGGGAACTAAACCCGTGGACCCCACGTCCAAGGTCAGCACCATAACCACTGGGCAGGTTCTGCGCAGTGGGGTCCGGACCTGGCCTGGGGCGACTGCAATTCCAATGACACGCTGTAAAGTGTCTGAAGCAGGGGGCTGGTTTTATGTCATGTCCGTACAGCCCCTGGCCCGACGGGCCCAGTGAGCGCCGCTGCAGGGCACAGCAGAGTCAGGATTCACACACAGAGCCCAGCATTTCCCACTCGTCCCCTGCTCCGTGGTGCAACCCACCTGCGCGGCTTTCTCTTCAAAGGGTCCCGCTAGCTCCCAGCACTGAGACGTCTGAGCTGGCCAAGCCATAGGGCGCTGGGCCAAGGGGAGGGGGGTAGTACCTCCACGCAAAGGTTCAGTGGCAGACAGCGCTCGTGGGCATGCAGCCGCCCTGCTGCAGCGTGTGTCTGCCCAGCTCTGAGCGGAGCGCCTCGCCCTGGCTCCCACTCTCATTGGTTCATCTTCCGGTTTGGTCCTTTTCTCAAATGTGATTTGTTTGTGTGAGTGTAGCCATTTATGGACTTACAGCATTCAGCGGTCATCCACCTATCCATCCCCAGGCACGCTCTCTTTCTCTCCCCATAGTATCTACCTGTCCATCCCCACGCACCCCTCTCATCTAATCTGTCTATCCCCATCCACCCCCTCTATCTATCTATCCCCATATACTCCTCTCATCTAATCTATCTATCCATCCCCATACACCCCTCTTTCTAGCTATCCCCATATAACCCCTCTATTTAATCTATCGATCCCCATATATCCCCTCTATCCATCCCCATACACCCCTCTCATCTAATCTATCTATCCATCCCCATACACCCCTCTATCTATCCATCCCCATACACCCCTCTCATCTAATCTATCTATCTATCGCCATACACCCCTCTATCTATCCCATACATCCCTCTATCTATCCCCATGCACCCCTGTATCTATCCCCATACATCTATCTATCTATCTCTCCATCCCCGAGCACCCTGCTCATCTAATCTATCTATCTATCTATCTATCTATCCCCATACACCCCCTCTATCTCCTTGGTATCTAGGCACTAGCATCATAGCACCAGGTCTCCTTGTGCAAAGCCTCCCCCTGGACACCAGAGTTGTAACTTTTCCTAGCACCGCAGCGCCCCCTGCTGGCCAGTCCCCCCCCCCACTGCGGGGCCCACCATTTGCGCCTTTTCTTTCTAACCCACCGGGTTTCCGGGTTTCTTTTGTTTAATTTCAGGGCAACGAATGAGGTGCTGGGGGCTAAGGCCCTGCCCCCCCGCAGCGGTGCTGGACGGGCCTGGAAATGGCTCCGGGCGAAGGTGCAAGGCCCAGCAGGGTGAGACCTGTGCTGTTGGGGTACGTGTAGCTTGTCGGGTGCAGGGTGGCTGTAGCCGCGTAGGTCCCAAGAGAGCCAAGGTGGGTGAGGTCACAGTACCCAGCCGGCCACTGCACCGCTGTGGGGCACTGGGGCCCGCACTGACAGCCAGGGGAGAGCACCCCTCCTGAGCCCCCACCCCCCTGCCCGCAGCACAGCACCGCCAGATGTCGCACAGGAGCCCGCACTGACAGCCAGAGGAGAGCACCCCCTCCTGAGCCCCCACCCCCCTGCCCGCAGCACAGCACCCCCAGATGTCGCACAGGAGCCCGCACTGACAGCCAGAGGAGAGCACCCCCTCCTGAGCCCCCACCCCCCTGCCTGCAGCACAGCGCCCCCAGATTTCGCACAGGGGCCCGCACTGACAGCCAGGGGAGAGCACCCCCTCCTGAGCCCCCACCCCCCTGCCCGCAGCACAGCGCCCCCAGATATCGCACAGGGGCCCGCACTGACAGCCAGGGGAGAGCACCACCGCCTGAGCCCCCACCCCCCTGCCCACAGCACAGCGCCCCCAGGTGTTGCAGTGTGGCCACGGGCCAGCACTGACAGCCAGGGGAGCACGGCGCCCTCCTGAGCCGCGCACCCCCCTGCCCGCAGCACAGCACCCCCTAATGACAACATCCCTTCTCTGCAGATGTATTTAAAGCCTGATGACAGAGCCTAGCTCCCGCTCATCCCACATCCAGAACGAGGCCAGCCTGGGGCTTGGTAGGGTGGAATCATTGTCTGCTTCGTTTGATAACGAATCCCCCCTGTTTACACATTGCCCATCGGTCTGCCATATGCCCAACATTCCTGCGTGGTGGGGGGGAGCGTATGGGCTTCTGGCACGGAGAGTCGCCAGCTGGGCTCCCACCCACGAGGCTGCAGCAAGGACACCATCAAACTAATGCAGGCCACTTGGGATCTACATTGCTCACAAAGCCCCAGGGTGTTACCGGGGGTGCTTCAGGGATTGGGGAGATGGTGCTCTCCCTTGGCACTCAGCGCTGACCCCAATGTCCCGGGTGATTATCCTGTAAGCTGGCTGGGACCGGCTGGATGAGGCATGCGCAGAGGTTCCTGGTCTTTGACTGGGTGGATGCAGACGTCGTAACAAGCCCCAGCAAATAGCATCGCTGCAGGGGCCTCCCGGGACCCAATTCTGCTGCAGCGAACCCACAGATCCTACAGCAACATGAATTGATCTCGGTGCCATGGGACACCTGTCACTCCCACACTCTGCCCCTGCACAGAGCCTCGCTGCCTTGCTCTGTCATTGGCTTCACTCCACCACTGCTCACTGCCTCCCGTTGGTGCGTCCAGGGAAGGGGGCACCTTGTAGCCAGCTTCACTGTCTCATGTCCGAGACTGTCCCGGCTCCCCCCTCTCCCTGGCTTCAAACGGGGCTCCTGGACAGTGCAGGGAGCGTGCCCTGTAAACCAGTTAGCACTGGTGGGGAGCCATTGTGGGGAGCGCTGCCGAGCAAGCGGAGCAGCTGCAGATCAATCCCAGCAGGGCAGGGAGAAAAAAACCAACGAACCAAACAGACAAAAGATAGGTGATTAGCAGCAGGAAAATGATGAATTCCGTGGAAATGCTCTGTCTTGCGGTATCTTGGAGAACGGCCCAATACCACAGCTGTGCAGCCCGGGGGGCGGAGGGGAGGGCTGTTTGAGATGAGCACGGCATCATGCCTCACACCACTCTGCTAGAATTCTTTGGGGGATCAATACACATGTGGACAAGGGTGATCCAGTCAGTGGATATAGCATGCTTGTGTAATGCTGAAAGACTGGTTGACGGCGGGCAGGATCGAACTTGGGATCGCTCGAGCTAAATGCATGAGCCGCTCCTGCGTGAGCTAAAAGCCGCGTGGCCCTTAGCTAAGGCTGTAGAGAAGACTCATTCATCTCTTTCTAAGCGGTCTCGGTGCCACTAGATGGGACAGAACGCCACACCCAGGACGCGTGTGGGTTACACTTGGACTTGCAGAAGGCCTTTGACAAGGTCCCTCAGCAAAGGTGCTCAAGCAAAGTAAGCAGTGATGGGATAAGTAAGAAGATCCTCTCATGGATTGGTAACTGGTTAAAAGACAGGAAACAAAGGGTAGGAATAAATGGTCTGTTTTGACAATGGAGATGAGTAAACAGCAGGGTCTGTGCTGGGACCAGTGTTGTTTAACATTTCTATTCATGACCCGGAAAAAGGGGTGAACAGTGAGGTGGCAGTTGGGAGATGATATAAAATTACTCAAAACGGTTAAGTCCAAAGCTGATTGCGAAGAGTTACAAAGGGATCTCACAAACCTGGGTGACGGGGCAACAAAATGGCAGATGAAATTCAGTGTTGAGCAGTATAAAGTAACACACATTGGAGAACGAAAGCCCCACTGTACATACAAAGTGAGGGGGTCTAAATTAGCTGCTACCATGCAAGAAAGAGATCTCGGAGCCATCGCGGATACTTCTCTGAAAACATCCGTTCAGTGGGCAGCGGCCGTCGAAGAAGCGAACACAATGTTGGGAACCATTAGCAAAGGGATAGAAAATAAGTGAGGAAATATCGCAATGCCACGATATAAATCCATGGTCCAGCCACATCTTGAATACTGGGTGCAGCTCTGGTCACCCCGTCTCAAAGAAGATATGTTGAACTGGGACAGGTGCCGAGACGGGCAACAGATATGATCAGGGGGACGGAACCGCTTCCGTACGAGGCGAGATTAAAAAGGCCGGGACTGTTCAGTGTAGAAAAGAGCTGACCGAGGGGGGATATCGACACAGGGGACTATAAAATCAGGAATGGGGTGGAGAGATTGAATATTTGCCCCTTCACGTAACACAAGAACCCGGGGTCACCGGATGAAATTAACGAGCAAACGGAAGGACGCGCTTCTCCGCCAAGAGCTGGGACTGGGCTTGGAGCAGACCCTGGCCGGGTCCATCAATGGCTGCTAGCCAAGGCGGCCGGGTCGGTCCCCTGGCTGCCAGCAGCCCTGCCCATCCCCAGCTAAGGCGCCTGCCCACCATGGCCCAGCCTGGCCCTTCTGTGCCTCTGATTCTGGCTGGGAGCCCCTGCTCCTGCCAGCACTCAAGATGGCGTCCCGTTGCCTCCCAGCCCAATGGTGTCTTTCTTTGCCATTAATCAAGATGGCGTCTCACCCCGGGCTTCGCGTGCCCTTTGCACCGCCCGCACTCAAGATGGCAGATCTACCCTCCCGGGAAAACAGTGAAAGAGCGCGGTGACTGACAGGCGAGTCGACGCAATCAACAGGCCGCTTGGAAAGATCGACAGCTCCACCAGCCAATCAACTGGCAATGCGTCTAACTGCACCGCCTTTTTCCGGCGACAGGCGGGCTTCGGGCCTGGCGAAGACCAATGAGAATGGAGGGCGCGGCCGGAGTGACGGGGCACCGCGCCAATGGGGGCGGAAACGGAAGGAACGCTCTGTAGTCGCCGGGAGGAGGACAAGCCGCGCGGGAGTCGGAGCCGGAGCGCGGCACCACGTGAGCGGCCTCCGGGAGCGCGAGGTGAGAGCGGCCGGGCGGGGCGGTCACGCGAGCCCGGGGCTTGGCCTGCGGCCTGGTCCGGGCCCGGGATCGGGCGGCCCCGTGGCGGGCCGGGGCCGGGGGGGGGCCTGTTGCGGGCGATGCTCTGGTGTCCCCAAGGCGGCGGCCGCCCCCCCCGCCCCCATCCCCGCTCTGTGTTCCCGGGGTCGGGGTGGCTGGGCTCGATCCCCGGCAGGAGCAGCTCTCGGGGGGGGCAAGTTTTGTGCAGGAGTCCGTCCCCCCCCCAGCTCTGCCGGTGCCCCCCACTCCCGACCCGCAGCCCCCTGCTCGCCCGGCCCTGGGCTCCCCCCCGCACCTCTACCAGCGCCCCTCAATCCTGACCCGCAGCTCCTGATACCTCAGCCCCGGGCTCCCCCCAGCTCTGCCGGTGCCCCCCACTTCCGACCCGCAGCCCCCTGCCAGCCCTCCCCCCAGCTCTGCCGGTGCCCCCCACTCCCGACCCGCAGCCCCCTGCCAGCCCTCCCCCCAGCTCTGCCGGTGCCCCCCACTCCCGACCCGCAGCCCCCTGCCAGCCCTCCCCCCAGCTCTGCCCCCCACTCCCGACCCCCGCCCCCTCCCCCCCCCCACTCTCCCCCCACTCCCGACCCGCAGCCCCCTGCCACCCCCCCCCAGCTCTCTGGTGCCCCCCACTCCCGACCCGCAGCCCCCTGCCAGCCCTCCCCCCAGCTCTGCTGGTGCCCCCCACTCCCGACCCGCAGCCCCCTGCCAGCCCTCCCCCCAGCTCTGCCGGTGCCCCCCACTCCTGACCCGCAGCCCCCTGCTAGCCCGGCCCTGCCCCCCCCCCCGCACCTCTACCAGCGCCCCTCGATCCTGACCCACAGCTCCTGATACCTCAGCACCGGGCTCCCCCTAGCTCTGCCGGTGCCCCTCAATCCCCACCTGCAGCCCCCTGCCAGCCCAGTCCTGCCCCCTCCGCTCCCCCCCATGCTCTGCCAGTGCCCCATAATCCCGACCCGCAGTCCTTGCTAGCCCAGCACTGGGCGCGTGTCCCTCCACCCACCAGCTCTGTTGCTGCCCCTCACTGCTGACCCGCAGCCCCCCGCACCTCTACCAGCGCCCCTCGATCCTGACCCACAGCTCCTGATACCTCAGCCCCGGGCTCCCCCCAGCTCTGCCGGTGCCCCTCAATCCCCACCTGCCGCCCTCTGCCAGCCCAGCTTCAGCTCCCCACCTGTGGGTTCTCCTCAGTCCTGACCCGCAGCCCCCTGCTACCCCAGCCCTGTTCCCCCTGCCCCTGCTCCGCTGGTGCCCTTCAGGGCAGACCTGCAGCCGCTGAGCGCGTCTGTTCCTCGCAGAATGGCTGAGCAGGACGTGGAGAACGAGCTGCTGGATTATGAGGAGGACGAGGAGCCCCAGGTGGTGGCGGATGCGGTGCCCCCTCCAGCAAAGAAGGACGTGAAAGGCTCCTATGTGTCCATCCACAGCTCGGGCTTCCGGGATTTCCTGCTCAAACCTGAGCTACTGCGAGCCATCGTGGACTGTGGCTTTGAGCACCCGTCTGAAGGTAGGAGCGGAGCCGAGGCCCCCGGCCCCCAGGAGCGCAACCCCCTTGCCAGCCCGCCTGGGAGGAGCTGCGGGCGGGGGCCGTAGAGAGCGGCGCTGCCTGGTGAGAGCTGCGGGGGACGGGGGCGTCGGCAAGGGAGTGAGATCCTCGAGATCTGCCCTGCCAAGTGGGGGAAGCAGGGGCTCAGCAGGGGGCGCTCTCCCCCACAGTCCGTGCTGGCTCCAGTGCAGCACTAGGGGGCGCTGTGCTGCAGGGAGTGGGGTGGGGCTCAGGAGGGGGTGCTCTCCCCAGTGTTGGTCCCAGTGTGGCTCTAGGGGGCACTGTGCCCCTGGGAGAGGGGTGGGGCTCAGTAGGGGGGCTGACCCTAATGCTCCAGAGCAGGAGGGGGGTGGGGTTTAGTGGGTTAGAGCAGGGGGCTGGGAGTCAGGACTCCTGGGTTCTATCCCCAGCTCTACCTCGTTCTGCTGTGCCCCGTGTAACGGCCGTGCGTCCGCCTTTGCTCCCACAGTGCAGCACGAGTGCATCCCACAGGCCATCCTGGGCATGGACGTGCTGTGCCAGGCCAAGTCGGGCATGGGCAAGACGGCCGTCTTCGTGCTGGCCACGCTGCAGCAGATTGAGCCAGTGGATGGACAGGTACAGGGTGGGGGCGGGTGTTTGTGTGTGTGTCTGGGCTGTGGGATTTGCTGGGGAGAGGAGCAGGCTTGCCTCCCCGGCCCCCTCGCCTCTCTCTGCCCCACCCCATGTGGGAAGGCACCTGGGGTCACTCTCATGGCTGTGCTGTGGGGTAGACTTGGCAAGGAGAACATGGCACCAGATGCTTCAGAGGGAATGAGCAGAGCAGGGCAATTAGCGAGTGATCCATCCCTTGTCCGCCAGTCCCAGGTTTAGGGACACCCGCTGCGTCCTTGACCATGCTGGCTCATAGCTGTGACTGGACCTGTGTTGCAGGAACTCAGCTCATTCGTTTCTGAGCCCACGTGTACTTTTGGCCACCTCTTGCTTGCGTTGTTGCTCGTTAAGCAAATGAGGGCCGCGCGTGGTTCACAGCGAAGGGGGTTAACCCTGGGAACGGACGCCAGGGCAGGGCTGGATTCTCCGCCTCTCGATGCCTTGCACGCAAGCCGCCGTGGGGAAGGTGCCTTAGCCTGATGTGCTGTGGGCTCAGTACAGGGTGAGCGGAGGCCAGTCCCTGGTCATGCTGCAGGAGGTTGGGGTTAGACAGGCCCCTCTGGCCTGCAGCTCCTGGGAAGTGGATCCCTGGGAGGCTGGTTCTGGGCCTGCTCCTCGGGGGGACTTTGAGGTGCTGCTGACGCAGTGGGAGAATCCAGTGTGGCCAGAGCCATGTGTTTCTCTGGCCCAGGCTAGCCTCAGAGTCCAGGACAGGCTGTTGCTGAGAACCATCCCTTCTGCCTTCAAATCTGACTATGGGCTGGAGGGGGAGGCCAGGGGTCCCTGGTGGGGGTCACCCCGGGCTGTGGGGCTGGTGCCGCCCCAGCGACGCTGGAGGGATCTCCGGAGCAGGTTGGGACCGGGCAGCAGCAGGGAGCTGCTGCCGTGCTGATCCGAGAGCTGGCGAACTCGCTGCATGTGAGCGCCCTGAAGTGCGGCCCTGGGCCCTCGTTGACCCAGCTGGATATGCCTCAGGAGCCTGCTGCCCCCCGGCCATGCCCTGCTGCCCCCGGCACTGCAGGGAGCATGGGGCTTTGCCCACTTCTGGCTGGGGATGGGCCTGCCTGGGCGCTGCTGTCATGTGTCTGGATCTCCAGCGGCTCCGCTGCCTCAGGGGGCTGGCTCGGAGCCGCCAGCCTGGCACTGGGCTGGTGCTGGGATACCCCCTGTGGGCTGGATCCTGCCCCGGGACAGCCTCCCAGCGGGCTGTAGCCGCATGGGGCTGGCAGCCACCGAACTCTGCTCCGCTGAGCCCGGGCCACTGGGGGCCATGGCCTGCCTCGGATCCATGGGCCAGAGCGATCCTGGCTAGCAGTGGGGCCTGTCCCTGCTGTTGCAGCATTAGCAGCATGGACCCTCGGCGCTCTGGATTAGTCCGGTCTTCATGGGGGTGGGGGGAGCTCTGAAAGCTCAGGGGAAGGGGCAAAGATGGGGGCACCTGTTCTCCAGGATTTGTGGGAGGTGGCAGCTATCCCTGAGGGGATGGGGGAGGGGTGTCCCTGGGTGGGGGCGTCGGGCTGTATCCCAGGGGGGCAGGGCAGGGTCTCTGCTGGGGTGACCCCTTCTCTTCTCCCCCCTGCCCCAGGTGTCGGTGCTGGTGATGTGCCACACGCGGGAGTTGGCATTCCAGATCAGCAAGGAGTACGAACGCTTCTCCAAGTACATGCCCAGCGTCAAGGTGAGCCTGGCCCCCCGGTGTCAAGGGGAACCCCTCCCCCACGCCCCTGGTGCCCCCGGTGGAGCCGCGAGTGTTATTCAGCCTGGCTCCAGTGAGTGAGGAGTGTGGGGAGTATCCCCACTTCCAGGGGGCTAGACGTTGGAGACACAGCCCCACCCCCCACAGCGTGAGCCCCCCAGCAGCTGCCCGTATGACTGTGTTGAGGGCCTGAAGCTTGGAAGCTGCAAGGGTGGGTCTCCGTCTCCTCTGTGCTCATGTGGGAGACCCAGAGAGTGGCTGGGGGTGGGTCAGGACTCCCGGGTTCAAGTCTAGGCCCTGCCACTAAACTGCCCTTGGACAAGTCCTGTCCCCCCTGCCTCAGTTTCCCCCCAGTGGGAGTGGAGGGATGCTCCCCTAGCCCCAGGCCTGCCCGGTGCTGGGGGTTCGCTGCCTGGCCACTGACCCTGCTCTTCCCCCGGCCGCCTGCAGGTGGGGGTGTTCTTCGGGGGCCTGTCCATCAAGAAGGACGAGGAGGTGCTGAAGAAGAACTGCCCCCACATCGTGGTGGGGACCCCGGGGCGCATTCTGGCCCTGGTGCGCAACAAGAGCCTCAACCTGCGGAGCGTCAAGCACTTCGTGCTGGACGAGTGCGACAAGATGCTGGAGCAGCTTGGTGAGATGGGGTGGGGGGCGCTAGGGGGTGTAGGGGGAGGGATCCCCAGAGCGTCCCAACCTGCCTGGGGTACCTGTGGCCTAGGGGCTGTCTGCATCATCTGTCAGGGCTCCTGGGTTCTAATCCAAGCCCTGGGAGGGGAGTGGGGCCTAGTGGTTAGACCAGGGGAGACTGGTGGGTGGAGGGTACGGCCCCTGGGTTCAAGCCCCGCTCCCCTCCCAGCGCTGGGAATACATGACAGGTTCTGAACCTTCTCCAGCTGCCTGGGTGGCGAGCGTCTCCTTTCTCTGGGGCAGGGATGGCGCCAGCTGGTTCTGCCCTAGGGACCCTGCCAGCATCAGGGCTGGAGCTGCCTGATGCCAGGTGCTGCCCAGTCCTGGGAGCCCAGCTATGTGTCCCTGGGTCCTGCTGGTCTGAAGGCCAGGCTGCTGTGTCTGGGGTGTGACCCCGGGGCGGGGCTGGGGGGTGCAGAGGGGAGGCTGCCTGCAGGGGAGTGGGATCAGACAGTCTGGGATTAAGTCACCGGTCGCAGGGAGCGACTTGGGGAATTGGGGGGGGCTGGAGCTTTCACCCCAGCGGGCTGGTTCTGGGCCTCGTTCCCAGGGCTGGACCTCTGGGGGTTAAACGCGCGGCCCCCCCCAGCTGTCTCCGATGCAGTGACCCTCCCTCCCCACAGACATGCGGCGGGACGTGCAGGAGATCTTCCGGCTGACACCCCACGAGAAGCAGTGCATGATGTTCAGCGCCACCCTCAGCAGGGAGATCCGGCCGGTGTGCCGCAAGTTCATGCAGGATGTGAGTCCCCGGCCCAGCCTGCCCCCAGCTCATCACCCCGCCTGGTCCTGGGCCTGGGCCTGGCCCTGCCCTCCCAGCCCATCACTCCTCCCCCCCCGCCACCCAGCCTGCCTCTGACCCCTCACACCCCAGCCCATCACCCCTCGGGGCCCCCCGCCACCCCCCAGCCTGCCTCCCCCCGACCCCTCACCCCCCCCCAGCCCATCACCCCTCGCCTGGGCCTGGCCCTCCCTCCCAACCCATCACCCCCCCCCGCCTCCCAGCCCCCCCTGCCCTGCCACCCCAGCCCATCACCCCTCGTGGGCCTGCCCCTTAACCCTGCCCCCCCAGCCTCTCATCCCCCCCTGCCCTGCCCCCCCGCCCCTCACCCCTCGTGGGCCTGCCCCCGGCCCCTCACCCCCTGCCCTGCCCCACCCCCCCCCCGGCCCCTCACCCCTCGTGGGCCTGGTCCCTCCCCCGCCTGGCCAGGAAAGGTGCCCTCGATCCCCGGCTGGGCTCAGCGCTGAGCAGCCCTAAGCCTCCGGGCCTGGCCACCAGCAACTCACCCAGTACCTGCTGATTTGATGGGGGCACCCAGCCAGGTCCCCTGCTCCGCACAGGAGGCAGCTTGGTGGGGGGCCAGCTGGTCTGGGGTTCCTGGCCCCCTCACGCAGGGTCCCTGGGAAGGTGTGGGAGGGTCTGCTGTGGAAAAGCCTTCCCACCACTCTGGCTGCTGCCCCAGGCCCTGGCACAGCGAGGTTTGGCAGCCCTATGCCCCTGGCACGTCCATAGCCTGGGTGAGGCAGGCCCTGCTGTGGGGGTGTTGCTGACCCAGGCTGGAGGTGAGCTTTGGCTGGGTGGTGTGGGGAGGGTAAGGGTCTACTACAGCTGCTGTCGAAGGGAACTCCTCCCCCAGCTCACGTGGCGGAGCCCCTGCTCTCAGCGCTGGGTTCAAACCGGGGGTTGGCTCACGGAGGGCTGGGTTGAAGCCTCTTTGGCAGTGAGGGGGTGTCCCTGAGCTGCTCCCTCCCTCCAGCCCATGGAGGTCTTCGTGGATGACGAGACCAAGCTGACGCTGCACGGCCTGCAGCAGTATTACGTCAAGCTGAAGGACAGCGAGAAGAACCGCAAGCTCTTCGACCTGCTCGACGTGCTGGAGTTCAACCAGGTGTGTGTGTGTGTGGGGGGGGACGCCTGGGTCCCGTCCCCAGCTCTGGGAGGGGAGTGTGGGGCTGGGAGCAGGACTCCTGGGTTCCAGCTGGCTGTGACACCAGGGCCAGGCTGTGGATCCTTGCCAGAGCCACCCACAGCGCTAGGCCCCTGGGAGAGGCAGGAGGGGGAGGAGCCTTGCTTGGTTCGGGGTGGGGGGGGTTAGAGTGTGCTCGGTCTCCTCTGGCTGCACTCTGTGTGGGGGGGGAGGGGCAGTGACACCCCCCAGGTGGGAGACCAGGGCAAGATGGGCCCTTTGGACTCCACTGCAGAAGGGGTGAGGCCTGTGGATAGCTGGGCAGAGGGGGGCAGGAGCAGGATTGACCTGGGGGGGGGGGGGCTGATCCCAGGCAAGATCCGGGGGGTGGGCCGGGCTGGGGTTGAACAGCTGGTGTCCTGTCCCTCCCCCTCCCCCTCCTGTGCGGATGGGGTGGGGGCAGGGAGGAGGCGGAGCTGTCTGCCGAGGTGGGGGGTGCTGGGTGCTAACCCTCTGCCCCTCCCCCAGGTGGTGATCTTCGTCAAGTCGGTGCAGCGCTGCATGGCCCTGGCCCAACTGCTGGTGGAACAGAACTTCCCGGCCATCGCCATCCACCGCGGCATGTCGCAGGAGGAGAGGTGGGTGCCGGGCGCTGGAGGGGCTGGGCAGGGCCTGGCCTGGCCTGGGGAGTCTCGCTGACCTGATTTGTGCTGGCACCAGGCTCTGGGAGGGGAGCGGGGCCTAGTGGTTGGAGCAGGGCTGGGGTCTCAGGTGTGATCCCCCCCCCCCCCCCCCCCACAGGCTGTCCCGGTACCAGCAGTTCAAGGATTTCCAGCGCCGCATCCTGGTGGCCACCAACTTGTTCGGGCGGGGGATGGACATCGAGCGTGTCAACATCGTCTTCAACTACGACATGCCCGAGGACTCGGACACCTACCTGCACCGGGTGAGCTCTGCCGCTGGGGAGAGCCGGGCCTGGCCCAGCACGCGGGGGGAGGGTTCTGACCCTGCACCCACCGGCCTAGGGAGAGCCGGGGCCTGACCCTGCGGCTGCTGGCCCAGGCACATCATGGGCATCGGTGGGGAGCCTCATTGCCCACAGGCTCTGCCCAACGTTGGGGGCCCAGCACCCCTGGACCAGCTGCTACTCTGGTATCTGCCGTTACTGGAGCAAGGGGCGCCCCGGCTGACAGGCGGTATGGCCCCGGCTGTCCAGGGATGGGTTTGATCTGGGCCTGTTGTTAAGGAAGTTAGCATATGTGACTCCATTTTGGTTTGAGGCCCACCATTGTCTAAAAGCAAACACCTCATGCACCCGGAGTGGTGTTCCTTAGATACTGCATTCCTGTGAAAGCCCCCCTCTTGTCTCCGGCCTGTCTCGACTCCCGGTTTCTGTTCTTTGTCTGTTTCTAACTCCCTGCCTCCTGGCCTTGATGTGAGCCTCCCATCCTGATAGGAGAGGCTACTGGTGCATTGCTTTGGGACCATGTTGTGTAGTTGAAGTAATGGTCTAGCACGGGGAATGTACCTAGCAGGGACAGGTAGTAGATAAGGGAAGGGTTTGTCTACTGGCTAAGGTTTCCGATGCACGAGGGCAACATGCTTTGCTAAAAGGTATATAATCTCTGTATAACCTGCATTCGGGGCCCCCTCCTGACTAGCAGGGGGGCACCACGCTCGAGCGTAATAAACTTAGTGTCTCTGGAAACTCTGCAGTTGTGGACTTTGGTCGTGTGCCTCAGCTGAGGCTCAAACTGTGCGTGACCTATTGGGTGTAATTCGTAATGCTGTCGGGATGTGGGGGGCTCTTTGCCTGGCTCTTTAATTATCAGGCAGGGCGAGTGCTTGGCAAGTGGCCCCTGCTGATGCCCCCATAGAGTTGGAGGGGCATACCTGGGGGGCCTCAGAGTTGCCCCCCCCGCTACATCGCCCAGGGTGGGTCACAGAACCCCAGCCTCTCCTGGCCCCATGCCCTCCCACACCTGCGCTGGGCTCCCAGGTGGTTACAGGTTCCTAGGGGGAGGAGCTCCCAGGAGGCCCCTCCCCACTGACAGCCCCACCCCACTCATTGCAGGTGGCACGTGCCGGGCGCTTCGGCACCAAGGGCCTGGCCATCACCTTCGTGTCGGACGAGGGCGACGCCAAGATCCTCAACGAGGTGCAGGATCGCTTCGAGGTGAACGTGGCAGAGCTGCCTGAGGAGATCGACATTTCCACGTACAGTACGTACCGGCCGGGGGGCAGCCCTCGGCCCTTCGCCCTCCCCCCAGGGAGCAGCTGCGGGGTTTGGGCCCAAATCCTGTCTTTCTGGGGAACATCACAGCTGGGGAGCCCCATGCCCTCAGGGCGCCCAGGTGCCATGGTGATGGGCCTGTAGATTAGACTCAGCATGGGGTGGGGCCTCTCCTGATCTCTGATGCTTGTGGAAGGGCAGCAGCCACTGACTCCTCCCCCCATGGCTTCTGCCCCCATGACTGTAGAGGGAGGATTCTGGTGGCTGCCATCCCAGCTGCTCTGGGGGGCCACAGTGGTGGAGCCCCCTAGTGGTGGTGGTGGGGAGTCTGGTCACAGTGAAGAACTGAATGGGGTGAGGGAGCCCTCTGGTGGGAGCAGTGGGATTAACAGCCTCTTTCTCTTACAGTTGAACAGAGCCGATAACGGGATCGGACCCCCCTGCCCAGAACCAGCCCGGCTGCTCTTTTTAACCCTTTCTAAGTCAGATCACGGGTATTTCATTTTTTTACGCAGTTTTTAAACCTGTAGATGTGTGTGTAACAGTGTCTCAAATAAACTTTTTATTACCAAGTGCCTGTGTTGGGGTTTTAGCTTCTTGAGGGGCTTAATGAGATTTTAATTTGTTTTGTGTGTAATGGGCCCCCTGCAAAGGAGGTTCTGATTAATTTGGTTTAAATGCCTTATCTGGATTGGGCTGGAAAGTGGCTGCAGCTTTTCACAACAGCTGTGTCCCACCCCAGAGATGGCCGCATCTATCTGTGCGATTAAAAACGGTTTCAAAGTATTACATGTTCTGTCTCCCTGAGACACTGGGAGTCAGGACTCCTGGGTTCTATCCCAGCAATGAGGGGAAGTAGGGTGTCACGTAGGCCATACCTGCAGGAAGGGGATGCTATCCTGCAAAGCAGATTTGGGGTTATGATGGATAATCAGCAGAAGAGGAGCTCCCACGGCAATGCTGTAGCTAAAGGATGTGTGAAAAGGGGAGGCTCAGGTAGGAGTAGGGAGGTTATTTTACTATATATCTGGACCTGGGCTGAGTGCCACTTAACTAGTGCCCCCACTTCCAGATAGATGCTGATAAATTGGAGAGGTCAGAAGGCCTGCGAGGATGGTGGAAGGATTTGCAAACCTGCCCTGTAGTGACAGACTCCAGGAGCTCAATTTGATTAGCAAAGAGACAGGGAAGGGGTGACTTGGTCAGTCTACAGGGACTTTGATAATGGGCTCTTCAGTCTAGCAGCCAGAGGGCTGGAAGTGAGACCAAGTCACGCTGGAAATCAGCAGGGAGGGTAAATTAACCACTGGGACAGCTTCCCCTGGGCTGTCACTGGCCTTTTCCCAATGGAGCTGGGATGTTCTGCTCTCAATGGAGCAGGAATTAATCCAGGGAGGGCACGGGCCTGTTCTGCAGCTGGTTGGACTCAGAGGATCACAGGGGGCCCAGCTGCCCTTAGAACATGTAATAGAGGATTAGAGTAGCGGGGGCTGGGAGTCAGGACTCCTGGGTTCTCTCCAGCTGCCACACACGTGGCTCCTCGAAGCAGCTGTTTTTGTCACAAACTTATTTTAATAACTTTAAAAAGATCATTTTAAAAAAAAGTGTCACCCCTGAGACACAGACAGCCGAGCCCTGGGGGCCGCTGCTTGCCTCCTGCAGCTCAGGCCGTGTGGTACCGTCATCGAAGCCAAGGGCAGTGGCTGATGCTGCAGACCCTGGGTGGAGGGTTCATCACAGCTGGCTGGATTCATCTCCACTGCATGCACTCGGCCCAGCCCATCGTGGTGCCGCAGGCGGGGAGAGGGAACCGTTCGTACCAAAGGAAAAGGTGCCCCCGGGTGGCCAGAGTACATCGCGTGGGAGCCAAGCGGCTGCCCCCCTGGCCGCTGCACGCAGGCCTGGGGCTGGTGCGAGTGACCAGCAGGTGGGGGCAGCTGGGCAGTGTAATGGTGCCCCCCGCTGCCTGGCAGGTTCCACTGGGCAACCGTTGAAGCATCTGCGTGCGGCGAGTCCAGGTGCGTGGTGGGGCTCCTCACGGGCCCGGCCAGGCCAGGGGCAGGGGGCCGGGTTTTCTCACGTGCAAAGCTGCGTTGTCCAGAAATGGGCTGAGCGCAAGAGTGCTACAACCCTGACTCCTGCGAAGGCTGGAGCCCCTGCTGGAAAGGGGTGTGTGTGGGGGGGAGTTAGAGCAGGACTTAACCCCCAACTCTCCCTTCCCCTCCCCCCAGGCTGGTCACTGGTGGCCCTAAGGCCTCATAGTGAGTCAAAATGACAAATGGGGTCCTGGCTCTCAGCCCCACCCAGAGCTGGGGACAGACCCCAGGGGTCCTGGCTCCTAGATTTCCCCCCCCCCTCCCCTCCCAGAGCTGGACACAGACCCCAGGGGTCCTGGCTCCTAGAGCTCCCCCTCCCTTCCTAGAGCTGGGCACAGACCCCAGGGCTCCCAGCCCCTCTCTCTGGCTTTGACTTCCTTCTCAGCCCAGCTCTGCCTCCTTTCTCTTCTAACCCCCGCCCCTCCCCAAACACAAGGAGGAGGCAGTGAGCACTTGCTGGGTGGGGTTTGGCTGTGGGGGCCAGAGCAGGAGGGGAGGGTGGGAAGGGCTGAAGGGCAGAAGGCTCCTGCGCTGTTGTGGGGCGCGGCGCGGCCCCCCCTTACCCGTGTGGTGGTCGAGCTGCTGAACTCCGAGTACTTGGCCGGTCCCTTGAGGCCACCGCACCTCAGCCACCTGCGGTACTCGTCCCTCACCTGGCAGGAGAGAGGAGAGGGCTGGTCACCCCACGGCGCAGGGGAGCTCACAGGGGTGGGGCCTCAGCTGTAGGGAGACAAGGGCCCAGAACTGGCTGGGGGGGGGGGAGCTCTCAGCTACTCCAGCCCCTCGCAGCAGAGGGCACTGGGGGGAGCCCCCAGCGGGGGGCGGGGGCTGTGGGGTAGGGGTTGAGCACCAGCTGTAGAAGGAGCCCAGGGGTGGGGTGCTGGCTGTGGGGGGGTGGCTGTGGGGCAGAGGTTGAGTGCTGGGGGCTGTTGAACGCCAACTGTGGGGGTGCCTGTGTGGGGGGCAGTGGGGCAGGGGTTGAGCACCAACTGTGGAAGGAGGCCAGGGGTGGGGTGACACTGTGGGGCAGGGAGTGAGGGCTGGCTGTGGGGTGGCCGTTAAGCACCGGCTGGGGGCAGTTGAGTGCCGGCTGTGGAAGGAGCCCAGGGGTGGGGTGACACTGTGGGGCAGGGGGTGAGCGCTGGCGGTGGGGTGGCCATTAAGCACCGGCTGTGGGGCGCTGCTGGGGGCAGTTGAGCGCTGGCTGTGGCAGTGCCCGGGAGGGGGGCACTGTGGGGCTGAGGCTGAGCGCCGGCTAGGGGGAGACTGGCCTGTTGCTTGAGCAGACAGTGCAGCAGGAAGATGAAGAGCCCCTGCAGGCTGTTGAGGATGGTGAAGATGTAGGAGACGACCAGGCTGCGCTGGTTGAACTGGAACATGCCGAAGATCCAGGTGGTGCCCAGGATGCAGAGCTGGGCAATGGCCGTGATGGTGAGCACCCTGCGGGGGAGGGGGGGACACCAGTCACATGGCCCCGCCCCTCAGTCACAGCTCACCTCCCCTCCCCCCCTCGGGGCCCCGCCTGTGTGGCATGTGACTGACATCTCCCACACACAGCCCCCATGTCCCCAGCTCCGCCCCCCCAGCCAGTAGGGGGTGGGGGAAAATGTTACTCATATGTGGCCCCCTCCCCCAGGTTACCCCCTCCCCCCCACGCATGGGTGGGGGGATAACATCCTGCTAATTATATCCCCCTCCCGCAAGTGGGGTCAGCAGGGCACTGCCAGGGTCTCTGCTGCCCTGGGGGCCGCGCCTGCCTGTCCGCTACCTGAGCTTCTTCAGCTGGCTCATGTCAGGGTTGATGTCCGCGAATTTCAGGGACAGCTTCCAGACGGTGACCACGAAGATCACGGCGTTGACCTGTCGGGGGCAGGGGGGAGGCTGGTTGGGAGAGTGGCAAGTGTGTCCCAAGGGTTGGGACTATGGGATTTACCAGCTGTGCGGCCCATGGGGCAGCCCCTTGCCTGGGCCCGGGGCGCCCCAAGCCCTGTAGTGACCCAGCTCTGCCTCTGGGGTGGGCTGGGGGACAACCAGCGAGGGGCCCAGCTGCCCCGGAGCTGGGGCTGGCTGGCCGAGGAAAGAAGCGAGGGACAGCCGACAGCCAGGCCCTCCGGGGCCAGCTTGGGGACCAGCGCTGGCATGGGGCTGGGCTGGGGAAGGGGGGTTTACCGCGATGATGATGCAGACGGGTGCCAGGAAGCTCCAAATGAAGTTGTTGTTCAGCGAGAGCCAGCAGCTGTGGGGGGGAGGGACAGATATGGGGGTTAGTCACTCACCTGCCAGCAGGGGGCACTGTGGGGTGGGGGTCTCCCCAGCACTGGCAGAGTGGGGTATGGAGACATGCCAGCCCACCCCCCCTTGGTGCCTGGGCGCTTCCTTGCGTTGTACAAGTGTCCCGGGCTGGGGCCCTGGCCCAAGTGGCAGGTGGGTGCCCCCTCCCTCACCCTGGCCTCACCCACCCCAGGGGGGCCCACCCCTCCTCTCCCCTGGTGGGCCCAGATGGCCACGGCCCACCCGGCTGAGCCGCTCTTCTCCCCGTGTGCTGCCCTGTCCCCCACGAGCCCCTGGCCGCGAGCAGGGGGCCTGCCCCGCCCCAGCCCGGTGACTCACTGGCGCGCCGTGCCGTAGCCCTTGTGGTAGCTGGCGGCCGAGAGGCCCACGACGAGGGCCGGCACGCCGTAGCCCAGCAGGAACATGTAATGGCGCCGGAGGCCGTGGGGGGTGAAGACCTGAACCACCAGCAGGTAGAGTTCGGCGCCCTCCAGGCACATCCAGCAGAAGGCGGCCAGGAAGAAGTAATGCAGGAGCCCGGCCACCACGCCGCACACCACCTGTAGCCAAGGGGGTGTGGGCACGTCAGGGCTGGGCTCCCGGCTACTCCAGCCCCAGCCCAGCGGGGGGCGCTGTAGCGAGCGGGGCAGGAGCACTGGCTGTGGGGGGAGCTCCCGGCTACTTCAGCCCCAGATGCTGGCGGGGCACTGTGGGAAGCAAGGCAGGACTGCTGGCTGTGGGGGGTAGCTCCTGGCTTCTCCCGCCCCAACCTGTGCCAGCAGGGGGCGCTGTGGGGGAGTGGGGCCTGAGGCTGGCTGGGGGGGGAGCTCCCAGCAGGGGAGCGCTGTGGGGAGTGGGGTCCAAGGCTGGCTGGGGGACAGCAAGGGGCACTGTGGGGAGCGGGGCCCCAGGCTGGCTCGGGGGCAGCAGGGGGCGCTGTGGGGAGCGGGGCCTGAGGCTGGCTGGGGGAGGAGCTGCCAGCAAGGGGCGCTGTGGGGAGCGGGGCCCGAGGATGGCGGGGGGGCAGCAGGGGGTGCTGCGGGGCCTGAGGCTGGCTGGGGAAGCGCTCCTAGAAGGGGGTGCTGTGGGGAGCGGGGACCGAGGCTGGCTGTGGGAGGAGCTGCCAGCAGGGGGCGCTGTGGCGAGTGGGGCCCCAGGCTGGCTCGGGGGGCGCTGTGGGGAGCGGGGCCCCAGGCTGGCTCGGGGGCCGCAGGGGGTGCAGTGGGGAGCGGGGCCCCAGGCTGGCTGTGGGAGGAGCTGCCAGCAGGGGGCGCTGTGGGGAGCGGGGCCCAAGGCTGGCTGAGGGGCAGCAGGGGGCGCTGTGGGGAGCGGGGCCTGAGGCTGGCTCGGGGGGTGCAGTGGGGAGCGGGGCCCCAGGCGGGCGGGGGGGCCGGGTACCCGGTTGCCGGTGCTGGAGGAGCCGGTGAGGAAGACGGCGTAGGCGATGAAGAGCGCCAGGCAGAGGTGCAGGTGGATGGTGGTGCGGGGGCCCTTGAGGGCGCGGCAGAAGAGGAAGGTGATGATGGAGAGCAGCAGGCACAGCAGCGAGATCACCAGCCCCACCTTGGTGATGATGTCCAGGGTCCAGTCCTGTGCCGTGGGGTGGGGGGGTTAGTCCAGGTCCCCGTGCCCCCCCCCCCGCAAGGCCGGGCTTCAGGGTACACCTGGGCTAGCCGGTCGGCCTCGCTCTGGGCCAGGGCTGGGAGAGCCCCCTAGTGGCGACACCGGGCAGCCTGCGGGAACCACACTGTCTGGCTGGGTCTAGCAGCCCAGATGGAGTCGATACTGCCCAGCCTGCCCCTCCCCAGGCTGACCCACAGCCCCAGAGCCATGGGGGCTCTAAGGTCACCACCAACCAAGGGGGAATCCCTGGCACCGATCCCTGCACGACGGGGGTGCCAGAAAGTGCAAGGGGCTGGGGCTGTTCCCCTGTAGCAGAGAGCAGAGTGCGCCCACCTGGGGGGTGGAAGCCCCTGCCCAGGGGGGAGCTGCTTTTACACCAGCCGGATGCGCTTGTGGCAAAGGTGCTGCAGCTCAGGACTCCTGGGTTCTATTCCAGCACTGGGGGGCGAGCAGGGTCTAGGGGTTAGAGCAGGGGGGCTGGGGGTGTTACAAATTACACCTGAGAGGACACGCACACCAATGCTATGAATTACACCTGATAGGACACGCACACCAGTGCTGCGAATTACACCTGAGAGGACACGCACACCAATGCTACGAATTATACCTGATAGGACACGCACAGTTCGAATCTAGGCTGAGGCACAGAAACAAAGTCCACAACTGCAGCGTTCCCAAAAGACACTAAGTTTATTACGCTCGAGCGTGGTGCCCCCCCTGCTAGCCAGGAGGGGACCCTGAATACAGATTGTACAAAGGTTATATACTTTTTAGCAGAGCATGTTGCCCTCGTGCATCGGAAACCTTAGCCAATAAACAAACCCTTGTCTTATCTACCACCTATCCCTGCTTGGTGCATTCCTCGTGCTATACCACTATGTTAATTACACGGCATGGTCCTAAAGCCATGCATCAGTAACCTTTATTATCAGGATGGGAGGCCTCACATCAAGAGAGAGGGAGTTAGAGGCTAACAAAAACCAGATACTGAGAGTCAAGGCAGGCTGGAGACAAGGAGGAGGATTTTCACAGGGATTCAGTATCTAAGGATCACTCCTCCTGGTGTATGATGTGCTGGCATTTAAACAATGGTGGGCCCCAAACCAAAATGGAGTCACATGTGCTAACTTTTCCTTAACAGGGGGGGTCCGTTCCCAGCTCTGATGTCACCTCCCTGTGTCTTCTTGAGTGAGGCATTTAACCCCTCCCTGCCTCTGTGCGATGGGGATGCGGACCGCTCTGTCCTGCAATGCAATGGGGTGAGCCGGCCAGGCTGGGGGGCACGTCGGTCGCCGCTATCTGGGGAGTCTCCCTGAGCCCGTGGCTGCTTGTGCCCCTGATCGGATCCAGGGCCTGGCCTGCCGGTGGGGAACGGGTTTACTCAGGCGGGGAATCTGGAGTGACTCCTGCTCCGCCGGGGAGGATTGAGGGGAAGAGCAGAACCAGCCCAGCTCTGAGGCCCCAGCGAGGGCCACGCTTACCTCCAGCTCGTAGAAGGCCATGAGCACGGCGAAGCTGGTCAGGTGGCTGCACTGGCAGCGGGTGGTGGTGGCATTCAACTTCTGCAGGTTGCAGCCGCGGGTGCCCCAGCGCCTGGTGCTGGTCTCCCAGTAGGCACAGAGGAGGCGCAGGTCGGCCTTCTTCTCCTGGGGACAGAGAGACACTTGGTGCAAGGGGGGGGAGAACTCCCCAGGCCCCAAGAGGGCAGGTCGAGGGGGCACGAAGGGCTGGGGGCACAGAGCCTCAGTTTGTCCCTGGGTGGGAGGTGGATTCGCCTGCTGCCCGGGGTGGGGGTGTTACTAGATGGGCCCAGCTCTGCCCCCCCCCGGCGCCCCAGGCTCCCTCCCCCCATGCGCAGCCCGGGGGCTCACCGGCACCGGGTGGCTGAAGCGGAGGCTGACGGAGAGGTTGAGTGCCTGGGTGTCCAGGTCACTGACGAAGGCCGACACCACTGGAGACAGCACCCGGTAGCTGGGCCGCCCCCGTTCCTGCGCCCACTTCCCCGTCTGGCCGATCTTGTCCCACTCGGGCACCTCCACCCGCGCAGCACCGTCCAGGATGGGGCTCATCCCCTGGTAGGTCAGCAGCCAGGCCAGGGTGAAGCCTGCGAGAGCCAGAGATGGATGAAAAGGGCAGGAGGGGCCTGGGGGCAGACTGGTATTAGGGGGCGCTGTGCTGCCGGGGGTGCTACCCCCCCATGCCCTGGCTGTGCCCCGTCCCCTTACACACCCCAGCCTGGCACCAGGGGGCGCTGTGCTGCTGCTCCCAATGCCCTGGCCGTGCCCATCGCTGTACACACCCCAGCACAGGGGATGACCACATACCTTTATTTTCCTGCCCTGGGGCTCCGGCCCACTTTAATTCCATCTGCGTCTTGCTCTGCTGCAGCGTCACGGTCTCCTGGCTCTGGACCCCAGCCTTCCTGACCGCCAGCCCCAGCTCTGCAACCACAGCGCCAGCCAGGGCTCACAACAGAGAACATGGACAGGAAGCCTGTAGCTAGGCAAGGTGCTTTCCTGGCTGTGGGGGGAGCTCCCGGCTACTCCAGTCCCAGCCTCTCCCAGCAGGGAGTGGGGGCTGGGGGCGGGGGAGCTCCCATCTCCCAGTAGGGGGCACTGTGGGGAGTGGGGCGGGAGCACTGGCTGTGTGGGGGAGCTCCCGACTCCCAGCAGGGGGCACTGTGGGGAGTGGGGCGGGAGCACTGGCTGTGTGGGGGAGCTCCCGACTCCCAGCAGGGGGCACTGTGGGGAGTGGGGCGGGAGCACTGGCTGTGGGGGGGAGCTCCCGACTCCCAGCAGGGGGCACGGTGGGGCATGGGGCGGGAGCACTGGCTGCGGGTGATGAAAGCCCAACGGGGGCCACGTGGCCAGGTGCTGACCTGTGCCATTGGTGGACGTGATGCTGATCATGCTCTCAGGCAGGGTCAGGGCCAGCAATCTCAGCAGCTTCTCCACTATGGCCATCAGCTTCGTTGCAGCCTGGTGTCTCCACTCCATGCTCTCGCTCTGCTGCCCAACCACATTTATCCCCTTCTCCAGAATGTCCAAGAAGCCCTGGCCAAGCAAACGTAGGGGGCGTTGGTGTCACAGTGCCTGAGCCCCCCACCCCCAGATTGCTAGTCCTCCGCTGCCTTCCCACAATCCCCCTGAAAGGAAAGACAAGTTCTCCTGCAATTGACATTGCTGCCTGGGAGGTCAGACTAGATGATCACAATGGTCCCGTCTAGCCTAGGAACCGAGGAGAGCCAGTTTCTTGGGCACAGAGCCCCCTGGAGAGGCAGGCATGGGAATTTCTGGGCAGTGCTGCTGTTTATCTCCTGTTCCAGATGCTGCATTCCTATCTATCGCCCTTAGATTAGATCCGAGTAGGAGCAGCGATTCCTCCCCCTAATGGGAACAAACCCAGCAAGGCCCCGAAGTTTGGCTTGGCACCTTCAGCTGCCTCTTCACAGGCTCAGCGCTCTGAACCTTCATCTGCTTCAGCTCCTCCAGTGCCGCCCTGCAGAGGCTTCCCGCCTGGGCCTGGAAGCTCCCCAGGAGGTTCTGCAAAACAAGCCCCAGGCCTGGCTCAGGAAACGAGATCACAGAATCGCAGCCCACCCCGTCCTGAGAGGATCCCTCGGCTCAGAAGCCAGGCGCCAGAGGGAGCGTGGGCAATGCCCCATCTGGCCCCAAAGGGGTGCCCAGTGTTTGCAAAGGATGGCAGGGGAAGGCGGTTGCAAGCTAAAGCGTGTTGCAGCAGCCTGATGTTGCTGATCCTGGAGGGTGAGAATCACCCTGGGGGCAAGGCCTAGGCCTTGGCTGGGCTGCAGGGGCTCCCAAGGACTGGCCACTGGCTCTTTGCCCAGGGGTGAGTTTGGCCCCCGACTCCTCGTTGGGCGAGATCAGTGAAAAGTAACGTGGCACGTAAAGGGGAATCGGGGTCTATTCCCCGCCCCCCCCCGGGTCTGTGCCCCACTCACCTTGGCTTCTGCAGAGTTGTCATCATCCAGCAGCGTTGGGCAGGTGAGCTCTGGGGATGGAAAGGGAGGAGGAGTGAGGGATGGGCCAGGGGAAATGTGAGGTCTGGCTGGGTAGGTGCATGCACCAGAGCCAGGCACGGAGAGCAGCACTCATTCCCTCCAGCAGGGGGCGGCAGGGACACAGCCCATGTCAGTGATATGGGTGTAATAGATCCCCTCCCAGCAGGGGGAGCAGTGACCCTCCCCCACACACACACTCAGCCCCACACATGTGCGCAGCCCCTTCTCCCCATCCTCTGCCCCCAAGCCGACCTCTGTGAAAGGGACCCTCCCCCCCTGCCCCGCCCTAGGGGGACTGAACCGCAGTGGGGTGGGGTGAGGGCTATGGAATCAGCCCAGCCTTATCTCCCCGCAACCGTCTCCCCGCAGCCGTGCGTGGTTTTGGTGTGTGTTGGGGGTGGCGGGGGAGAATCCAGCAGGGAGCCCTGGGCTGGCCCCACAGTGGCCTCTATCTATTCTATTTGCTACCCAAGATCCATAAACCTGGAAATCTTGGACGCCCCATCATCTCAGGCATTGGCACCCTGACAGCAGGATTGTCTGGCTATGTAGTCTCCCTCCTCAGGCTACGAGCACTCCCAGCTATCTTCGAGACACCACTGACTTCCTGAGGAAACTACAATCCATTGGTGATCTTCCAGAAAACACCATCCTAGCCACTATGGACACAGAAGCCCTCTTCACCAACTTTCCACACAAAGATGGACTGCAAGCCGTCAGGAACAGTATCCCCGATAATGTCACGGCTAACCTGGTGGCTGAACTTTGTGACTTTGTACTCACCCAAAACTATTTCACATTTGGGGACAACGTATACCTTCAAGTCACTGCTATGGGTACCCGCAGGGCCCCACAGTATGCCAACATTTGTATGGCTGACTTAGAACAACAGTTCCTCAGCGCTTGTCCCCTAACGCCCCTACTCTACTTGCACTACATTGATGACATCTTCATCATCTGGACCCATGGAAAAGAAGCCCTTGAGGAATTCCACCATGATTTCAACAATTTCCATCTCACCATCAACCTCAGCCTGGACCAGTCCACACAAGAAATCCACTTCCTGGACACTATGGTGCTAATAAGAGATGGCCACATAAACACCATCCTATACTGGAAACCTACTGACAGCTATGCTTATCTACATGCCTCCAGACCACATCACACGATCCATTGTCTACAGCCAAGCTCTAAGATAGCATTTGCTCCAATCCCTCAGACAGAGACAAACACCTACAAGATCTCTATCAAGCGTTCTTAAAACTACAATACCCACTTGCTGAAGTGAAGAAACAGAATGACAGAGCCAGAAGATTACCCAGAAGTCACCTACTCCAGGAGAGGCTCAACAAAGAAAGTAACAGAACGCCACTAGCCGTCACCTACCGCCCCCCACTAAAACCTCTCCAACACATCATCAAGGATCTACAACCTATCCTGAAGGACGATCCATCACTCTCACAGATCTTGGGAGACAGCCCTGTCCTTGCTTACAGACAGCCCCCCAACCTGAAGCAAATACTCACCAGCAACCACATACCACACAACAAAAACACTAACCCAGGAACCTATCCTGGCAACAAAGCCCGTTGCCAACTTTGTCCACATATCTATTCAAGGGACACCATCATAGGACCTAATCACATCAGCCACATCATAAGAGGGGTCGTTCACCTGCACATCTATCAATGTGATATATGCCATCATGTGCCAGCAATGCCCCTCTGCCATGTACATTGGCCAAACCGGACAATCTCTATGCAAAAGAATAAATGGACACAAATCAGACATCAAGAATTATAACATTAAAAACCAGTCAGAGAACACTTCAACCTCCCTGGTCACTCAATTTCAGACCTAAAAGTCGCAATTCTCCAACAAAAAACTTCAAAAACAGACTCCAATGAGAGACTGCAGAACTGGAATTAATTTGCAAACTATTTACCATTAACTTAGGCTTGAATAAAGACTGGGAGTGGATGCGTCATTACACAAAGTAAAAACTATTTCCCCATGAAGAAAAGGAGTACTTGTGGCACCTTAGAGACTAACCAATTTATTTGAGCATGAGCTTTCGTGAGCTACAGCTCACTTCATCAGATGCATACCGTGGAAACTGCAGTAGACTTTATATACACACAGAGAATATGAAACAATACCTCCTCCCACCCCACTGTCCTGCTGGTAATAGCTTATCTAAAGTGATCATCAGGTTGGGCCATTTCCAGCACAAATCCAGGTTTTCTCACCCTCCACCCCCCCCACACAAATTCACTCTCCTGCTGGTGATAGCCCATCCAAAGTGACAACTCTTTACACAATGTGCATGATAATCAAGTTGGGCCATTTCCTGCACAAATCCAGGTTCTCTCACCCCCTCACCCCCCTCCCAAAAACCACACACACAAACTCACTCTCCTGCTGGTAATAGCTCATCCAAACTGACCACTCTCCAAGTTTAAATCCAAGCTGCAGTTTCCACGGTATGCATCCGATGAAGTGAGCTGTAGCTCACGAAAGCTCATGCTCAAATAAATTGGTTAGTCTCTAAGGTGCCACAAAGTACTCCTTTTCTTTTTGCGAATACAGACTAACACGGCTGTTACTCTGAAACCTATTTCCCCATGCTAATTCTTTCCCGCAACTGTTACTCACACCTTCTTGTCAACTGTTTGAAATGGGCCATCTGATTATCACTACAAAAGTTTTTTTCCTCCTGCTGATAATAGCTCATCTTAATTGATTGGTCTCGTTACAGTGTGTATGGTAACACCCATTGTTTCATGTTCTCTCTGTATATATATCTTCCTACTGTATTTTCTATGGCATGCATCTGATGAAGTGGGTTTTAGCCCATGAAAGCTTATGCCCAAATAAATTTGTTAGTCTCTAAGGTGTCACAAGTCCTCTTTGTTTTTTTTGCTGATACAGACTAACATGGCTGCCACTCTGAAACCAGTGGCCTCTAGTGGTCACTAGGCACAGACTACGCCCCCTACTGCCATCTTCCCAGGGCAGAGAATCCAGCCAGGCAGCAGGAATGCAGGCACCGCTGGGGGGGAGAGACACCCGGCCCCTGGCAGCCCTGCTCACCCCCTCCCCGGCCTGGCCCCTGCTCTGCTCCCAGAGCCAGACATGGGCACGCTGGTGGCTGTGGCTCTGAGGCAACCAGAAAGACCCCAGTGGACGGACAGGCTGGGCTGGGGGGAGGTGAGGGCCTGGAGGCTGAGCCCTCCCCTGCTAGGGCTGAGACCCAGAGGGACCCCGTCCGTGGGGAGCAGCGGGGCTCGTGCACCATCCCAGACCAGTTCCCAGCTCGCTGCCCCCTTGGACAAGACCTCTGCCTGTGTAACCCCAGGCCCTCCCCAGCCCCCCCAGTTGCCCCCTCCATGCCCCAAGCAGCAGGACCCACCTTGGCACCTGTTGGAGGGGACGTAGCCGGCCCAGAACTCACACCGGTAGCTCCCTATAGTGTTGATACACGTGGCGTTGGGGCCGCAGATATCTGGGATCGTGCAGCACTCGTCGATGTCTGAGAGGGGAAAGCGGGGGGGTGGTGTCACACACAGCACGGCTGGGGGCGCATTGGGGCGAATGACCGTGGAGTCACCCCCCCACTGATTGCAGGGGACGTGGTCTGTCGGTCAGTCTGTCCGCTCCATCTAACCCCCCCCTTCTATTCTCCTTTCTTCCCTGCTATTTGCAGGGCCCCAATCCCTGCAGCTCAACCCCTCCCTCACCTTCAGACCGGGGGGCCCAACCTTTGCCAGACCAGGACCCTGCGATCTCCTCCCTGCACCAGCCCTGAGAGAGCGGGGTTAAGGCGGGGGGCCGATCAGCCAGTTAAGCTGCAAAGGGGAAGCGACTTCGGCTGCGTGCAGGGCGCTAGCTAGAAGGAAGCTCGCCTGGGAGGGGGGGGCTTCTATATAGCCCGAGGGCTGGGCCCAGTGGTGGGGGCCTGAGGCAAGGGGGGCTAGGAAGCCCCGAGGAGGGCTAGGAGCCCCGGTGAAAGGGTTTCGCTGGCAGGCATAGGAGAGAGGGGTCTGACTTTGAAAGGCTCCCCCAGCACGGGGATCACAGCGTGACCTGGCCGGACGGCCGAGACACGGGGCAGCCGCGACTCCAAGAGAAGAAAGGGGGAGCTGAACTGCAGCTAGTCACCATAAGGGGGCGCCACGCTCAGCGTTACAGACTCCACCCCAATGGCTCCCCTCCCGGTTTGGGATACACCCAGCACTGCCCCTCCCATGGAGCACTAGGAGAAGGGTGGGTGGCCTGTGCTCAGGGGTGTGCAGGGGAATTGGGTGGTGTCCCTTTTATCTAGTTTCTTTGCTCTCTGGTAGTGCTCACGGGGGTCTATGGCAGAAGCCCACAGACCCCCGACATTTGGCCAGGCCCTGCACGGCTGGTAAAGGGGTTGTTTAGAAGCCAGTTGGATCCAGGGGATCCCCCTATTCCTAACACTGTGCAGTGAGCAGCAACCTATGTCCATTCCCGGACCCTGCTGTGACCCCCAGGCCCAGGGCCCCATGGGGCAAATCCACCGAGCCCTCGGACGGATGACGCCAGCTCGACACTCGCTGCCGATCCGGCCTGTGGAAACTGAAGCCGGAGGAGACCTGCCCAGCCTGACTCCCAGCATAGCCGCAGCCGGAGTCGCCACCCAGCGGTTCACCGATCCGGCCCCAAAGGGAGAGGACTTTACAGCCCTCGCTGGCTCCTGGGGCCTTTCACCACTGTGGAGAGTCTGATCCGACAGACGGACCCCGCCCTGCCCGGGCGCAGAGAGCCCTGCTGTGATCTTGCCAAACGCTGGAGGGCCGTGCACCCGCCAGGCTGCCAACGTGGGTAGCACCAGCTGCCGGGCAAAGGGGGATACACGGGGGACGTCAGGGTTCCGTGGTGCAGCGGGGTCACTCGCCCCGTGTAGGGAGTGGGGTTTTCTACTTGGGGACCCGGCTTGTACGTGCAGAGACTCACTCATTCCGGCCAGCCAGCCCCTGAGGAGCCTGCAGTCCTGTCTGGGGCAATGAGAGGTGGAGAAGCAGAACTGGGACGAAAACCCCTTGAAGTCAGTGGTGCTGCACCAATTGACACCACTGGGCTCTGGCCCCCGCTTTGTGGCCATTTCACAGACAGAAGCACTGAGTTCTGGCAATGCATGGGGGACGGGCGCATCGTCAGTCATTCTCATGACCGATTCTCCCGGAAATCCCAGCCAGGAACGAGTGCTGGAATTCGACACTGCTGGAGGGGAGAGATGCCTGGCTCCTGGCAGCCCTGCTCACCCCCTCCCCGGCCTGCCCCTGCTCCACTCCCAGAGCCAGACATGGCCATGCTGGTGGCTGTGGCTCTGAGACAACCGGAAAGACCCCAGTGGACGGACAGGCTGGGCTGGGGGAGGTGAGGGCCTGGAGGCTGAGGTCCCCTGGACCAGGGCTGAGACCCAGCGGGACCCTGTCGGTGGGGAGCAGGGGGGCTGGTGCACCATCCCAGACCAGTTCCCAGCTCGCTGCCCCCTTGGACAAGACCTCTGCCTGTGTAACCCCAGGCCCTGCCCAGCCCCCCGAGGTGCCCCCTCCATGTCCCCAGCGGCAGGACCCACCTTGGCACAGGGTCGTGTTCCTGTTGGAGGGGACGTAGCCGGCCCGGTACTCACACCGGTAGCTCCCGTTAGTGTTGATATACGTGGCGTTGGGGCTGCAGATATCTGGGGTCTTGCGGCACTCGTCGATGTCTGAGAGGGGAAAGCGGGGGGGGTGGTGTCACACACAGCACGGCTGGGGGTGCACTGGGGACGAATGACCGTGGAGGCACCCCCTCACCGATTGCAGGGGGCGTGGTCTGTCGGTCAGTCTGTCTGCTCCATCTAACCCCCCCCCCTTCTATTCTCCTTTCTTCCCTGCTATTTGCAGGGCCCCAATCCCTGCAGCTCAACCCCTCCCACACCTCCAGACCGGGGGGCCCAACCTTTGCCAGACCAGGACCCTGCGATCTCCTCCCTGCACCAGCCCTGAGAGAGCGGGGTTAAGGCGGGGGGCCGATCAGCCAGTTAAGCTGCAAAGGGGAAGCGACTTCGGCTGCGTGCAGGGCGCTAGCTAGAAGGAAGCTCGCCTGGGAGGGGGGGCTTCTATAGAGACCGAGGGCTGGGCCCAGTGGTGGGGGCCTGAGGCAAGGGGGGCTAGGAGCCCCAGTGAAAGGGTTTCGCTGGCAGGCATAGGAGAGAGGGGTCTGACTTTGAAAGGCTCCCCCAGCACGGGGATCACAGCGTGACCTGGCCGGACGGCCGAGACACGGGGCAGCCGCGACTCCAAGAGAAGAAAGGGGGAGCTGAACTGCAGCTAGTTGCCAGAAGCGGGAGCCACGCTCAGCGTTACAGACTCAACCCCAATGGCTCCCCTCCCGGTTTGGGATACACCCAGCACCGCCCCTCCCATGGAGCACTGGGAGAAGGGTGGGTGGGCTGCGCTCAGGGGCGTGCAGGGGAATTGGGTGGTGTCCCTTTTATCTAGTTTCTTTGCTCTCTTGTGGTGCTCACGGGGGTCTATGGCAGAAGCCCGCAGACCCCCAACATTTGGCCAGGCCCTGCACGGCTGGTAAAGTGGTTGTTTAGAAGCCAGCTGGATCCAGGGGATCCCCCCTATTCCTAACACTGTGCAGTGAGCAGCAACCTGACTATGTCCATTCCCGGACCCTGCTGTGACCCCCAGGCCCAGGGCCCCACGGGTCAAATCCACCGAGCCCTTGGACGGATGACGCCAGCTCGACACTCGCTGCCGATCCGGCCTGTGGAAACTGAAGCCGGAGGAGACCTGCCCAGCCTGACCCCCAGCACAGCCGCAGCCAGAGTCGCCACCCAGCGGTTCACCGATCCGGCCCCAAAGGGAGAGGACTTTACTGCCCTCGCTGGCTCCTGGGGCCTTTCACCACTGTGGAGAGTCTGATCCGACAGACGGACCCCGCCCTGCCCGGGCGCAGAGAGCCCTGCTGTGATCTAGTCAAACGCTGGAGGGCCATGCGCCCGCCAGGCTGCCAACAGGGTAGCGCCAGCTGCCGGGCAAACGGACGTCAGGGCTCTGTGGTGCAGCGGGGTCACTTGCCCCGTGTAGGGAGCAGGGGGTTTCTACCTGGGGACCCGGCTTGTACGTGCAGAGACTCACTCATTCCGGCCAGCCAGCCCCTGAGGAGCCTGCAGTCCTGTCTGGGGCAATGAGAGGTGGAGAAGCAGAACTGGGACGAAAACCCCTTGAAGTCAGTGGTGCTGCACCAATTGACACCACTGGGCTCTGGCCCCCGCTTTGTGGCCATTTCACAGACAGAAGCACTGAGTTCTGGCAATGCATGGGGGACGGGCGCATCGTCAGTCATTCTCATGACCGATTCTCCCGGAAATCCTAGCCAGGAACGAGTGCTGGAATTCGACACTGCTGGAGGGGAGAGATGCCTGGCTCCTGGCAGCCCTGCTCACCTCCTCCCCGGTCTGCCCCTGCTCCACTCCCAGAGCCAGACATGGCCATGCTGGTGGCTGTGGCTCTGAGACAACCGGAAAGACCCCAGTGGACGGACAGGGTGGGCTGGGGGAGGTGAGGGCCTGGAGGCTGAGGTCCCCTGGACCAGGGCTGAGACCCAGAGGGACCCTGTCGGTGGGGAGCAGGGGGGCTGGTGCCCCATCCCAGACCAGTTCCCAGCTCGCTGCCCCCTTGGACAAGACCTCTGCCTGTGTAACCCCAGGCCCTCCCCAGCCCCCCAAGATGCCCCCTCCATGTCCCCAGCGGCAGGACCCACCTTTGCACAGGGTCGTGTTCCTGTTGGAGGGGACGTAGCCGGCCCGGCACTCACACCGGTAGCTCCCTATAGTGTTGATACACGTGGCGTTGGGGCCGCAGATATCTGGGATCGTGCGGCACTCGTCGATGTCTGAGAGGGGAAAGCGGGGGGGTGGTGTCACACACAGCACGGCTGGGGGCGCATTGGGGCGAATGACCGTGGAGTCACCCCCCCACTGATTGCAGGGGGCGTGGTCTGTCGGTCAGTCTGTCCGCTCCATCTAACCCCCCCCTTCTATTCTCCTTTCTTCCCTGCTATTTGCAGGGCCCCAATCCCTGCAGCTCAACCCCTCCCTCACCTTCAGACCGGGGGGCCCAACCTTTGCCAGACCAGGACCCTGCGATCTCCTCCCTGCACCAGCCCTGAGAGAGCGGGGTTAAGGCGGGGGGCCGATCAGCCAGTTAAGCTGCAAAGGGGAAGCGACTTCGGCTGCGTGCAGGGCGCTAGCTAGAAGGAAGCTCGCCTGGGAGGGGGGGCTTCTATATAGCCCGAGGGCTGGGCCCAGTGGTGGGGGCCTGAGGCAAGGGGGGCTAGGAAGCCCCGAGGAGGGCTAGGAGCCCCGGTGAAAGGGTTTCGCTGGCAGGCATAGGAGAGAGGGGTCTGACTTTGAAAGGCTCCCCCAGCACGGGGATCACAGCGTGACCTGGCTGGACGGCCGAGACACGGGGCAGCCGCGACTCCAAGAGAAGAAAGGGGGAGCTGAACTGCAGCTAGTCACCATAAGGGGGCGCCACGCTCAGCGTTACAGACTCCACCCCAATGGCTCCCCTCCCGGTTTGGGATACACCCAGCACTGCCCCTCCCATGGAGCACTAGGAGAAGGGTGGGTGGCCTGTGCTCAGGGGTGTGCAGGGGAATTGGGTGGTGTCCCTTTTATCTAGTTTCTTTGCTCTCTGGTAGTGCTCACGGGGGTCTATGGCAGAAGCCCACAGACCCCCGACATTTGGCCAGGCCCTGCACGGCTGGTAAAGGGGTTGTTTAGAAGCTAGTTGGATCCAGGGGATCCCCCTATTCCTAACACTGTGCAGTGAGCAGCAACCTGACTATGTCCATTCCCGGACCCTGCTGTGACCCCCAGGCCCAGGGCCCCATGGGGCAAATCCACCGAGCCCTCGGACGGATGACGCCAGCTCGACACTCGCTGCCGATCCGGCCTGTGGAAACTGAAGCTGGAGGAGACCTGCCCAGCCTGACTCCCAGCATAGCCGCAGCCGGAGTCGCCACCCAGCGGTTCACCGATCCGGCCCCAAAGGGAGAGGACTTTACTGCCCTCGCTGGCTCCTGGGGCCTTTCACCACTGTGGAGAGTCTGATCCGACAGACGGACCCCGCCCTGCCCGGGCGCAGAGAGCCCTGCTGTGATCTTGCCAAACGCTGGAGGGCCGTGCACCCGCCAGGCTGCCAACGTGGGTAGCACCAGCTGCCGGGCAAAGGGGGATACACGGGGGACGTCAGGGTTCCGTGGTGCAGCGGGGTCACTCGCCCCGTGTAGGGAGTGGGGTTTTCTACTTGGGGACCCGGCTTGTACGTGCAGAGACTCACTCATTCCGGCCAGCCAGCCCCTGAGGAGCCTGCCGTCCTGTCTGGGGCAATGAGAGGTGGAGAAGCAGAACTGGGACGAAAACCCCTTGAAGTCAGTGGTGCTGCACCAATTGACACCACTGGGCTCTGGCCCCCGCTTTGTGGCCATTTCACAGACAGAAGCACTGAGTTCTGGCAATGCATGGGGGACGGGCGCATCGTCTGTCATTCTCATGACCGATTCTCCCGGAAATCCCAGCCAGGAACGAGTGCTGGAATTCGACACTGCTGGAGGGGAGAGACGCCTGGCTCCTGGCAGCCCTGCTCACCCCCTCCCCGGCCTGCCCCTGCTCCACTCCCAGAGCCAGACATGGCCATGCTGGTGGCTGTGGCTCTGAGACAACCGGAAAGACCCCAGTGGACGGACAGGCTGGGCTGGGGGAGGTGAGGGCCTGGAGGCTGAGGTCCCCTGGACCAGGGCTGAGACCCAGCGGGACCCTGTCGGTGGGGAGCAGGGGGGCTGGTGCACCATCCCAGACCAGTTCCCAGCTCGCTGCCCCCTTGGACAAGACCTCTGCCTGTGTAACCCCAGGCCCTGCCCAGCCCCCCGAGGTGCCCCCTCCATGTCCCCAGCGGCAGGACCCACCTTGGCACAGGGTCGTGTTCCTGTTGGAGGGGACGTAGCCGGCCCGGTACTCACACCGGTAGCTCCCGTTAGTGTTGATATACGTGGCGTTGGGGCTGCAGATATCTGGGATCGTGCGGCACTCGTCGATGTCTGAGAGGGGAAAGCGGGGGGGGTGGTGTCACACACAGCACGGCTGGGGGTGCACTGGGGACGAATGACCGTGGAGGCACCCCCCCACCGATTGCAGGGGGCGTGGTCTGTCGGTCAGTCTGTCTGCTCCATCTAACCCCCCCCCCTTCTATTCTCCTTTCTTCCCTGCTATTTGCAGGGCCCCAATCCCTGCAGCTCAACCCCTCCCACACCTCCAGACCGGGGGGCCCAACCTTTGCCAGACCAGGACCCTGCGATCTCCTCCCTGCACCAGCCCTGAGAGAGCGGGGTTAAGGCGGGGGGCCGATCAGCCAGTTAAGCTGCAAAGGGGAAGCGACTTCGGCTGCGTGCAGGGCGCTAGCTAGAAGGAAGCTCGCCTGGGAGGGGGGGCTTCTATAGAGACCGAGGGCTGGGCCCAGTGGTGGGGGCCTGAGGCAAGGGGGGCTAGGAGCCCCAGTGAAAGGGTTTCGCTGGCAGGCATAGGAGAGAGGGGTCTGACTTTGAAAGGCTCCCCCAGCACGGGGATCACAGCGTGACCTGGCCGGACGGCCGAGACACGGGGCAGCCGTGACTCCAAGAGAAGAAAGGGGGAGCTGAACTGCAGCTAGTTGCCAGAAGCGGGAGCCACGCTCAGCGTTACAGACTCAACCCCAATGGCTCCCCTCCTGGTTTGGGATACACCCAGCACCGCCCCTCCCATGGAGCACTGGGAGAAGGGTGGGTGGGCTGCGCTCAGGGGCGTGCAGGGGAATTGGGTGGTGTCCCTTTTATCTAGTTTCTTTGCTCTCTTGTGGTGCTCACGGGGGTCTATGGCAGAAGCCCGCAGACCCCCAACATTTGGCCAGGCCCTGCACGGCTGGTAAAGTGGTTGTTTAGAAGCCAGCTGGATCCAGGGGATCCCCCTATTCCTAACATTGTGCAGTGAGCAGGGGCCTGACAATGTCCATTCCCGGACCCTGCTGTGACCCCCAGGCCCAGGGCCCCACGGGTCAAATCCACCGAGCCCTTGGACGGATGACGCCAGCTCGACACTCGCTGCCGATCCGGCCTGTGGAAACTGAAGCCGGAGGAGACCTGCCCAGCCTGACCCCCAGCATAGCCGCAGCCAGAGTCGCCACCCAGCGGTTCACCGATCCGGCCCCAAAGGGAGAGGACTTTACTGCCCTCGCTGGCTCCTGGGGCCTTTCACCACTGTGGAGAGTCTGATCCGACAGACGGACCCCGCCCTGCCCGGGCGCAGAGAGCCCTGCTGTGATCTAGTCAAACGCTGGAGGGCCGTGCGCCCGCCAGGCTGCCAACAGGGTAGCGCCAGCTGCCGGGCAAACGGACGTCAGGGCTCTGTGGTGCAGCGGGGTCACTTGCCCCGTGTAGGGAGCAGGGGGTTTCTACCTGGGGACCCGGCTTGTACGTGCAGAGACTCACTCATTCCGGCCAGCCAGCCCCTGAGGAGCCTGCAGTCCTGTCTGGGGCAATGAGAGGTGGAGAAGCAGAACTGGGACGAAAACCCCTTGAAGTCAGTGGTGCTGCACCAATTGACACCACTGGGCTCTGGCCCCCGCTTTGTGGCCATTTCACAGACAGAAGCACTGAGTTCTGGCAATGCATGGGGGACGGGCGCATCGTCAGTCATTCTCATGACCGATTCTCCCGGAAATCCTAGCCAGGAACGAGTGCTGGAATTCGACACTGCTGGAGGGGAGAGATGCCTGGCTCCTGGCAGCCCTGCTCACCTCCTCCCCGGTCTGCCCCTGCTCCACTCCCAGAGCCAGACATGGCCATGCTGGTGGCTGTGGCTCTGAGACAACCGGAAAGACCCCAGTGGACGGACAGGGTGGGCTGGGGGAGGTGAGGGCCTGGAGGCTGAGGTCCCCTGGACCAGGGCTGAGACCCAGAGGGACCCTGTCGGTGGGGAGCAGGGGGGCTGGTGCCCCATCCCAGACCAGTTCCCAGCTCGCTGCCCCCTTGGACAAGACCTCTGCCTGTGTAACCCCAGGCCCTCCCCAGCCCCCCAAGATGCCCCCTCCATGTCCCCAGCGGCAGGACCCACCTTTGCACAGGGTCGTGTTCCTGTTGGAGGGGACGTAGCCGGCCCGGCACTCACACTGGTAGCTCCCTATAGTGTTGATACACGTGGCGTTGGGGCCGCAGATATCTGGGATCGTGCGGCACTCGTCGATGTCTGAGAGGGGAAAGCGGGGGGTTGGTGTCACACACAGCACGGCTGGGGGCGCACTGGGGGCGAATGACCGTGGAGTCACCTCCCACCGATTGCAGGGGGCGTGGTCTGTCGGTCAGTCTGTCCGCTCCATCTAACCCCCCCCTTATATTCTCCTTTCTTCCCTGCTATTTGCAGGGCCCCAATCCCCGCAGCTCAACCCCTCCCTCACCTCCAGACCGGGGGGCCCAACCTTTGCCAGACCAGGACCCTGCGATCTCCTCCCTGCACCAGCCCTGAGAGAGCGGGGTTAAGGCGGGGGGCCAATCAGCCAGTTAAGCTGCAAAGGGGAAGCAACTTAGGCTGCGTGCAGGGTGCTAGCTAGAAGGTAGCTCGCCTGGGAGGGGGGCTTCTATAGAGCCCGAGGGCTGGGCCCAGTGGTGGGGGCCTGAGGCAAGGGGGGCTAGGAAGCCCCGAGGAGGGCTAGGAGCCCCGGTGAAAGGGTTTCGCTGGCAGGCATAGGAGAGAGGGGTCTGACTTTGAAAGGCTCCCCCAGCACGGGGATCACAGCGTGACCTGGCCGGACGGCCGAGACACGGGGCAGCCGCGACTCCAAGAGAAGAAAGGGGGAGCTGAACTGAAGCTAGTCACCATAAGGGGGCGCCACGCTCAGCATTATAGACTCCACCCCAATGGCTCCCCTCCCAGTTTGGGATACACCCAGCACCGCCCCTCCCATGGAGCACTAGGAGAAGGGTGGGTGGGCTGCACTCAGGGGCATGCAGGGGTATTGGGTGGTGTCCCTTTTATCTAGTTTCTTTGCTCTCTGGTGGTGCTCACAGGGGTCTATGGCAGAAGCCCACAGACCCCCGACATTTGGCCAGGCCCTGCACGGCTGGTAAAGGGTTGTTTAGAAGCCAGTTGGATCCAGGGGATCCCCCTATTCCTAACATTGTGCAGTGAGCAGCAACCTGACAACATCCATTTCCAGACCCTGCTGTGACCCCCAGGCCTAGGGTCCCATGGGGCAAATCCACCGAGCCCTCGGACGGATGACGCCAGCTCGACACTCGCTGCCCATCCGGCCTGTGGAAACTGAAGCCGGAGGAGACCTGCCCAGCCTGACCCCCAGCATAGCTGCAGCCGGAGTCGCCACCCAGCGGTTCACCGATCCGGCCACAAAGGGAGAGGACTTTACAGCCCTCGCTGGTCCTGGGGCCTTTCACCACTGTGGAGAGTCTGATCCGGCAGACGGACCCCGCCCTGCCCGGGCGCAGAGAGCCCTGCTGTGATCTAGCCAAACGCTGGAGGGCCGTGCACCCGCCAGGCTGCCAACAGGGTAGCGCCAGCTGCCGGGCAAAGGGGGATACACAGGGGACGTCAGGGCTCCGTGGTGCAGCGGGGTCACTCGCCCCGTGTAGGGAGTGGGGTTTTCTACTTGAGGACCCGGCTTGTACGTGCAGAGACTCACTCATTCCGGCCAGCCAGCCCCTGAGGAGCCTGCAGTCCTGTCTGGGGCAATGAGAGGTGGAGAAGCAGAACTGGGACGAAAACCCCTTGAAGTCAGTGGTGCTGCACAATTGACACCACTGGGCTCTGGCCCCCGCTTTGTGGCCATTTCACAGACAGAAGCACTGAGTTTGTGGCGACACATGTGGGACGGGCGCATCGTCAGTCATTCCAGCGGGCTGGGGGAAGCGGTCGAGCCACTGCGGAAATGGCCATGACCGATTTGCCCGGAAATCCCAGTCAGGAACAAGTGCTGGAATTAGACATTCTCCTGCCTATTAACCCAACATTTCAGCCATCCAATGAGGAAGCAGAGAAAGACCATGGGGCTCAGACAACCAACTGTACAACATCAGTGACAAGTTTTCGGAGGAAACCGTTTGCTAATAAAATCACAGACATTTATCCACCCAAACAGTTGAAGGGTCGGCTGATGAACGAGCAGGCTTGGATCAGCAGGCAGAGCTGTTCTGCTGACTCCCCTTGCGTTCAGATCAGCAGTGGCCTATCAGTCACCATGCTTAGAAACAGATGGGTGGCGGCCATTCCTGAGGAAGTAGGGGCAGGGCCACAGAAGAAAGCTAAGCTCTCCCTGATATTTATCCATAACGCTTTTGCTTCTCAGAGAAATCCTTGTGGCTAAAATCCCTTTCACCTGGACACCAACAAACAAGTCAATCAGCGGCGAGAGTCAAGATCGCTCATGGATCCTTCCGTTGGGCCATGCTCCAGCAGCTCCTTCTCAGACTCCCCTTCTCTCTCTTTCCCGTGACAGCGTTTTGCTATTTCCCACCACACCTTTTCCCTTTGGTCGTTATTTGCATAAAGGCAGCACCCAGAGCGCTGCACACTCACTGCCATAAAGAGCTTCTAGTCTAAATAGACAAGAAGTGGGAGAGAAAACTGAGGCACAGAATTGCCCAAAGACACCTAGCAGTAACAGAGCTGGGACTAGAACCCAAGTCTCCCGAGTCCCAGTCTCTTTCAGCTTGTTTCCTCCATAGAAGGCCAAGAATGTGTCTCCCCTGCCTCACCATGCAGATTTTACCCTCTGCTCCCCCTCACTGAGAGGAGCTTTGTGTCGGGAGTGCATCAGGGCTGGAAAAAATCCCTTGTTCCTTTGGCAGGAAACTCAACTTTTGCTCCATTGTTAAACTTCTTGGAAGGCAACGGGCCTACGCCATGCCTGTCAGGGGGCTTGTATGTGCCAGCCTCTAGCGAAGGCCGCTGAGCAATGGAACAAGGAGAGAGCAAGTTTGTCTGGAGTTACTCCCTTAGCTCCAGCAGCTGCGCTGTGTGCTTTCAGCAGACAAGTCCTGGGTTTGATTCCTGCTAATGACCCAAGCTGGTTCCTTGGTGATGCCAGCTCCTTCCCCAGCCTTAGCAGCTGCTGAGGGTTAGGTTAATGGGGTTCCAGAAATTAATGGGCTTTCTGAGCCCAAGCTCTATTAAAGGTTGTCCAACATAGAGTCCTCGGCTCCGTCTCAGCCCAGTTTGCTTTGCAAAGACCTGACCTTCCCCTCCTCAAAGCTCTGCTATGAAAGAGCATCTTGGGCTCTGATTGCAGCTGCAGGATTGGGGGGATGTTGCAGCTTCTAATGACGTCCCCAATGCCCTACGCTCGAGCCTCGGTGGAATTAAGCAACATGGCGACCTTCAGTCCCTGGGCTCAGTTTCCAATTCGTAAGACAGGCTGGGAGTCAGAACAGACACTTTGCCCGGGTGTGGCGCAGAGAAAGAGTGAGACCTCAGGGCAATCTGGTTAGTTTCACCCTCCCTGCATGCAGGTTAGTTTCAGAGGTCCTGGGTAAGCTCAGTGGCCGTGCATTAACAGCATCGCCAACGCCAAGCAATCAAGAAAAGCCCCAAACCCTGAGCCAGGCTGCAGAAAAGTCACGAGATTTTTTTTTAAAAAAAAATCTCCCGATTTTTAAACCAATCCATTTGATTTTAGCCAAAAGTGGAATCACGTGACTCCAGGTGGGGCTTTAAGGCAACATCACACTTTAGCAACACTGCAGAGAAGCCAGAAACATCATGCCTTTGCCACGACTGTTCCCAGCTCCTGTTGTACCTGTGCAGATCTTAGAGGTATCCCTTTGACTCTTCCCAAATCCCCAACTGCATTTACACCTGTAACTCCCTGGCATGTTGATGCAGTTCCCATGGGGCTGACAGACTGTGGCGTTTCGCTGGCACTCGTCAATGTCTGCAAGGAGAGAGAAAGCGGTAGGTCAGGCTGATCTAGGAGCTGTACCTTGGGCACTGGGGTGACGCTGCTGGGGGATAATCCAGCCGTCCGAAATGCACCGTGCTCTGGGGAGATGGGGCTGGTTAGAGCCAGGAGTTCAGTTACTGGGTCAGCGAACGGGAGCAAGTTGGCTACTGTCCGGAATGAGCCGCTCCAGCTGGGAAGGGAAAAGCAGCCCCGCCAGGACAAGTGCCTGCTGCTTGCTAAAGCTACCAAGCGGATCTGGCGATGCCCAGTGCCGCAATATCAGTGCAGATGGCAATGCCTGAATGAGCCGTCCGCCCCTGGAAGGGACAAATGGGGAGCTGCTTTGGGGAAGGGGATAGAGAACAACATGAGGGCTAGTCTAATGCCTTGATATCAGTCAATGGGGTGACCCCCTCTGCAACCCATGAGCTGCCCTGGGCACCCCCTTGCACAAAGGACAGTGCAGAACCAGAGGGGGTTCAGGGACAGGCAATGAGAACGATCGGGGCCTGGAAATGCCCTCTACAGAGAGAGATTGAAAAGACGGACTGTCAGTTTAGAGTGAACGTAAGAGGGGATGTGCTAAGAGTCTATACGTGACTGACGGGGATAGAGAAGGGAGATGGGGAGCTTCTGTTCTCCCCATCTCATAACACGAGAGCAGGGGCCAGTCAGGGAAGTTAGAAGAGGGGAAATTCGAAACTGAGCCAAGGAAAGGCTGTTCCACGCAATGTGCGATTAACCTGTGGAACTCCTCACCACAGGAGTCACTGCGGCCAAGACTTGAGAACGATTCAAGGAGCGACTGGACATTCATACGGATGATGAGAACAGCCGGAGTGATCAGAGTTAAAGGGCACAAATGTTTGGGAAGAGAGAGAACCTCTTGCTGTGGGCTTCAGCCCACCTGAGTATTAGAGACCAGGAAGTGAGGGCAGACTATCCCCCGGCTGCCACTGCAGGGCTCTTCCACCGTCCTCGGCAGCATCTGGCTTTGGCCCCTGGGAGCCGGGATACCAGGCTAGACGGGCCTCAGCTCTGATCCCGTCTGTACTGTGCAAGTACCAGCATTACTTATGTCTCAGCCTGGCCGGCGCCTCCGTTTCGCCTCTTCAGAGGCTGAGCTGCTCCCGGGGCAGACTGAACCCTGGAAGAACCGACCGGCTGCGTCCTGCCCAGTTCTGCCTCCTCTGCCCCTCAACCCTGCGACCGCTCGCGGGTTCTCCTGAACGCACCAAGGCGGCGCCGTGTTTCCAGAGCCCTGCTTTACTCCGGGAACAACGTAGGATCGGGTTCCGCCCCCGAAGGCTTCCAAGAGTCCACGCGGGATGGGAACGGAGCTTCCAACATCCTTATCCCGCCCGTCCTGGTTCGATCGGGATGTTTATAGCGGGTAGCGCCGCAGCCGGGGCACCATGGTGCCAGGTGCTGTACACACATCCAGCCACAGCCGCTGCTCCAACGCGCTTTCCCCCTGCTCCAACGCTCTGTCTGCTGAAGACGGCACCATGCGCTGGGTTCTTGGTGGGGTGGCCAGAGCTCTCCCCTCCCTCAGGCACACGGGTGTCCCGAGGCTTCCAAACTCGCTCCGAGTTGCAGGGAGCTGAGATCGGGTGTCTCCAGGGGCTTCAGTACACGGGGAAATTGACGGTAACAGCTCCTGTGGAATAGCTCCCCATCCGGACACTCTGGTCTGGAATAATCAGTGCACTTCCAAAGAGAACAGCGATCGCGATCGATTCCCCCCGGGGGCAAGCCCTAGGGATTCTCCCCACGGCTCCCGATACCAGCTATCCCCGGACAATCCCCGGGACGCTGGCTGAGATAACTGCGGCACTGACTTCTTCTTGTGCCTCGACCCGCCCCAGGACACTGGCTGGGGTTATCCCCTGCGGGCTGGGGCTGGGCGCAGGAACGGCTGGGCGAGGTCTCTGCCAGGGGAAGCGTTTGAACGAATGGGCTCCTGAGTTCTCCCAGTTCTACGGGCCCGGGGCTCTGCACCCCCCAAACGGGGGTGTAAAGGGCAGTTCCCATGGGAATGGCCGGCTGGGACTTGGTACAAGCTCTAACTACCGGCTGAATGTCGCAAACGAGGGCTTGGAACCCCCCGGCCCCTTCTCCCGTCAGGACGCCCTGGCTGCCTAAGGGGGCATAATGCCCCCTAGGAAATACCCTCCCATCCAGGGGGCTCCCTGTCAGTGTGGAGCTGGAAAAGGCTTTGCTCCCAGCCGTGAACGAGGGGGCAGATTGGGGGTGTGGCCGGGGTGCCCTGCGCTGGGGCTATTCCCTGCTCCCCAGGGCCCATAGGGGCAGAGCGCACTGGGCTGTGTGTGCACCATACAGGAGGCCCCTTCCCAGGCTCAGGGGGCTCCAGGAGCCTGGATTCTCTGTGCTGGGGACAGCGAGGGTCCCCACCGGTCTCCCCGGCGCCTCCCCGCAAACCTAGGGGTTTATTCCCAATCCAAACACCGAGGCAGGGGAGATCCTGGCCCCCAGGAGTTGAGGGTCACGGCTGATCACAGCCCTTGTGAGTGGATCGGGTGCTTTTGCAGCAGCCAGCAGCAGCCTCTGGTGCAGCACCAGGCCTGGAATGAGCGCAGGGGTGTGTGTGGGGGGGGTGCAGGGGGACTGAGCAGGGTGCGGTGGGGGCCAGGGGAGAGCTCACCTTGGCAGGTGTTCTCCCTCGCGTGTGTGAAGTTGGCTTTCCCAGAGCTGGGCTCGTAGCCATCGGTGCAGCTGCAGGAGTAACTCCCAGGCACGTTGGTGCAGTTTGCGTGGGGTCCGCAGTCTACCGGGCTCGGGCCCCGACACTCGTCAATATCTGCAGCACAAGAGGGGACGCTCTGAACAGTCCTGGCAGGGAGACGTTCCCCGTATCACCCCCCCCAACCCTCCGTACTGAGCTGGGTGACGGGACCCAGGCGACTGGGCCCCTGGGAGCTTAACAATCACAGGCCTGATTCCCAGCTACGCTCCGGCCGCACTGGGCTGCTCCGGCAGCGGAACGGCCCCTCGAGAATCTGGTGTATTGAAAACTGTGTTAGCATCACAAGCTCTCACTTTACATCTGCAAGGGGCTTTTCCGGAGCTTCTTGCATGCTTGGGGGCTCGGGTGACAAGCAGGTGATCTGGGGTTTCCAGCAGTGTGTCTGCCAAAGAGCCAGCCTAGAGCATAGTGGGGTTAGTTGTGCCTGTTTGCCTTCAGGAGCAGCCTGCTTTGTCTCTCTCTGTTTGGGGTCCGCGTGTGCTAGGGTTCTGGATTCTAAGAATAACCCTGTGTTAAGCTGCAGGCTGCCAGGGAGAGGATGTGATGCTTTGTTTCAAACTGTGTGTGTATGCCATGAACATAACAGAGGGAAGGGGACCTTCAGACCCCAGAACAGCCACTGTTGTCTCTATGGGCCAAGCCCCAGTGGGGCCAAGATTTGGGGAGATTTAGGAGTCCATGTTTGAAGCTGAGTTGCTCAAGGGGTGGGAACACTGGGACTTGGCAGAAATCCCCCTCAGGTTCCAACCACAGAGGGACAGACAGGCATTGCCAGCCTCGGTCAACCCCAAGGCCCATCTACCCCGGTATCCCGTCTGCGACAGGTGCTATAAAGGAAGGTATAAGAGTCCTGCAGCAGCAGCTGGGGGATAATCTGCCCCCGTGAAGGTCTCCTCCTGGTCTCTAATAGTCGGAGGTTGTCTTAAGCCCTGAAGTGGGAGCTTTTCCCTCCCTCCCAGAATTATTGTCCATTAACTAGCACAGCTCCAGGCATTGTCATTCCCCATAGAAATAGCCAGTCCCTCTTTAAAACTGTAGCTCACGAAAGCTGATGCCTCAAATAAATTGGTTAATCTCTAAGGTGCCACAAGTCCTCCTTTTCTTTTTGCAAAGACAGACTAACACGGCTGTTACTCTGAAATCTTTAAAACCCGACATTCACAGCCTCCATGCCCCGGTAGCAGTGAGTTCCAGAGGCTAATGCTGCCCCGGGTGGAGGAGGAGTATTTCCTTGTATCTGCTTTGAATTTCCCCCTTTTTCAATTCACTTTAATCCACAGGCCGCCCCCTTGCTCACTGGTCTTTCTAAAGCTCGTGATTTTCTGAGCTAATCTGATTTTCTTTTAATGCCTGGGATTGTCGTCACGAGCTCAGCCGTGCACTTAAGACCCACTGGAGCCGAATTAAGTGCGTAGCTGTGCAGGGATGGAGCTAAGCACGTGCTTTGCTGACTCGGGGGCTCAGGGAGCACAGACAGGGACCAGCACAAAGCGATTTAGCAGCTGGAAGTTCCAGCGTCCCCCGGTGGGACACCAGCATGTGGGTATCCCCTGCCACGGGACTTGCATTGGTGCATGCACCAGCTTCACCAGTGCAAAGGGGTCTCCGAATCCACTGGACTGTGAGCCCAGAAAGACCTCTCGGTCAGTGCCCTGGGCAAACTCCCAGCCCTAGGGGAGCGATGCGGAGCTGGCCAGCCCGTGTGTCCCTGAGTGCGGAGCTGGCCAGCCCGTGTGTCCCCGAGCCATGCCGCTGGAAGTCAGGGCGTCTCAGGAAAGCCTGGGGCTGGGCTGGCAATGCCAATCACAGCACATGCCCCCTCACAGCGCTGCCCTGGGGGAGCGACATGGAGCTGGAGTAGAGAGAGCCTGGAGCAGGGGCCTGGTACAAGGCCCGAACCAAAGTCAGCAAAAGTGGATGCTCGGAGCAAAAGTCCGGCCCTGTGGGACACTGAGCCAGAAAGGGTTAAGCAACTGACAGGCTAAATGACCCAAATTCTGCCTTTAAAGCCACACTAGAAAAGTAGCTGGGAGCTGTGTTTCTGGCTTCGGGGCAAGCAGCCCAGTATCGGAGCACCTGTTTTGTTGCTGGCTTGGTGAATCGAAGTACTGGAAATAATCAGCAGTTTGGAGGATTGTCGGCTCCCCTCTGCAGTTTGCCCTGATTGAGCAATCTCAGTGTGCTCCCCCAAAGCCCCAACAGTCACACCCTGTCACAAAGCCGAGGCCTGCCCGCAAGTTCACCATCCGGCGCACGAACTTGGCAGCGGTATTCCTGGCATTGCCAAAACACAGTGACTATGTAACCACTTTCCAGCACGAGATTCCCCTGCCTAGCGCATGGTAAGATGGCTTGACGGACGAGGAGCGTTTTGTCTGAAGCATCAGGAGTAAAGTACAAAGCCCGGTGGTGAATGTGACGAAGTGGGACTGTTCTTGATGTTTCCTCCGAGTGGTGTGGGGGTGCCTCGGTTTCCCCTGGGCAGTTCTTGGGTGTCTAGGTGGTGGGGTAAGGGTGTATGATCATGCAGAGCCCTAGAGGGCACGTGTGTGCAGGGGTCTGGACACAGAGAATGGCCGACACCCTGTTTCCTGGCCACTGATGGCCTGGGCCCTTCCCCCCTGCAAGGTGAGAGCTAAAGGGGTGGAGAACAAAGGAAACAAGTGCCCTCCTGGCCTGGGAAAGGGACAAAGCCCAGAGGAGGAGGGGCTGGAGGGAGTTTCAGTTTGGGGCTGACTGGGACATGGAATGAAGGGCAGACGTGGTTGTCTGGCTCACTGCCCCCCAAAATGGACCCAGCTGAGGGGTCCTGTTCTCTGCACCTGCAAGCTCTGTGTTAGACCATGTTCCTGTCGTCTAATAAACCTCTGTTTTACTGGCTGGCTGAGAGTCACGTCACGTCTGACTGCGGAGTTGGGGGGCAGGACCCTCTGGCTTCCCCAGGACCCCGCCTGGGCGGACTCGCTGTGGGAAGCGCACGGAGCGGCAGAGGAGGCTGAATGCTCCAAGGTCAGACCCAGGAAGGTGGAAGCTGGGTGAGCTGTGTGTCCTGAAGACAGGCTGCTCCCAGAGAGGAGACTTCCCCAGAGTCCTGCCTGGCTTCATGGGGAGCAGTTCCAGATCCAGAGCAGCGCCCGGGGACTCCGGGACAGTGAATAAGGGATGTTTTGTCTGAAGCAGCAGGAGAAAGGCACAAGGGCGGGTAGCAAGGTTGTGAAACACGCAGGCTGGTATGTCACTTGTTTATCCCAGATGGTTTGTCTCAGTCTAACTGTCGGGGTCCATTGTCAGAGGCAGACACGTGGCAGGGTCCCTGGGGCATCTAGGGGTGCTAGCACCGGCCTTCTTTGGCGATAAACCCGGCCGAGCGCCTTCGCCACTGATCCGACTCTGTGGGCCGTCTGGGCACTTCGGTGGAGGTCTGCCGGGCCGGGGACCCGCCCAGAGCCGGGACAGCACACGGAGCCGACGACTGCCAACCCCCTGTCCCCGCGCCAGACTGCTGGAACTCGGGGTGCCTCAGGGAAGCCCGGGGCTGGGCTGGCAATGCCAGTCACAGCACATGCCCCCTCACAGCGCTGCCCACGCAGGGAACTTGGGGTGCCTCGAACTAGCAGCTGCACCCCCTAGAGGCCAGAGGAGAGCATGGCTGCCTGCCCCCAGCGGAAGCTCAAGCAATAGGGGGCTGGGGGCGAATTCGAGAACGCTTTAGCCCAATTCCCAGAGCTGTTCCCGGGGCCACTTCCCAGGCTCAGCAGGGCACTAGCCGCTCAGATGCTGCGTGCCGGGGCCAGGGGTCCCCTCCCCTCTCCCCAGCGCATCTCTGCAGCATGAGGAGTTTGCTCCGTGGGTCTGTTTCTAACCCCGAGGGTTTATTCCCTGTCCAAGTGCTGGGCACAGGGGTGAGCCCGGCCCCATGCTCTGCGGGAGCAGGTGAGGGCCACGTCTCTTCACAGCCTCGCGGACGGCCTCGGGCCACTGCCAAAGCCAGCAGCAGCCCCGGTGCAGCACCAGGCCTGGAACGAGCATTTGTGTGTGTGAGGGGGGGTCTCAGCAGGTGGGGGCCAGGGGAGAGCTCACCCTGGCAGGTGTTCTCACTCGCGTGTGTGAAGTTGGTTTTCCCAGAGCGGGGCTCGTAGCCATTGACGCAGGTGCAGAAGTAAGACCCAGCCGTGTTGCAGCAGTTTGTGTTGCCTCCACAGTCTGCCGGGCTCGGCTCCAGACACTCGTTAATATCTGTAATGCAAGAGGGGACGCTCTGTACAGTCCTGGCAGGGAGACGTTCCCCGTATCCCCCCTCCAGCCCCCCGCATTGAGCAGGGTGACGGGACCCAGGCTCCCGGGGCCCTGAGCGGTTCGTGATTAAGGCCGTGATTCTCAGTTACCCATTTCTGCAGCTGGAATGTCGGAAATAACCCCCCCAAGCCTCCAGTCCCAGGTACGGGGGCGTTCGGCCCCACAAACACCCAGATCCCCCCCCAAACCTCCAGTCCCAGGTACGGGGGGGTTCGGCCCCACAAACACCCAGATCCCCCCCCAAACCTCCAGTCCCAGGTACGGGGGTGTTTGGCCCCACAAACACCCAGATCCCCCCCCAAACCTCCAGTCCCAGGTACGGGGGTGTTTGGCCCCACAAACACCCAGACCCCCCCCCAAACCTCCAGTCCCAGGTACGGGGGTGTTTGGCCCCACAAACACCCAGATCCCCCATGTGAGGGGAGGGTGGGGAGACGTCCCCCTGGGGCTCCAGGCTCCCTGTGTGTTGTGGGGGGGATGATAAGCTGCCTCTCCTCTGCCCCCTCCCTCCTTGGATCCCTGTGTGGCGGGGCTCAAGGGCAGGGGGGAAGTATAGCCAGGGCTGCCCCGTCCTGCTCCTCTGGGCAGGGATCTGTGGGGCCCTTGTGCTCCTGGACACCCAGGGGCTGATTAGGGCCGAGGCTGGGATTTCAGACGGGTCAGTGTGATGGGCCCCCCACCCTGTGCCCAATTCACAGAACCCAAGATTGCTGCTGACTCTGGAGGCCCCCGGTTCGATCCCCAGGAGGGCGGCCCTCACCCGTGCTGCCGCCCCCACTCTTTCCCCGGCTGAGCACCCCCCACAGGCCGTGGAGTTAGTTGCTCTTAATGCCCTGCTCTGTCCCAGCCCCGCAGGACAACGTGGGAGCCCCGTTACCGTCACAGATCTCCGTTACGTCGGTGAAGAGGCGATTCTTTCCTGACCAGTACCCATCCAGGCAGGTGCAGTGGGTGTTGTTTACACACTTGGCGTTTGACGGGCAGATCACATGGTTGCTGCAGTCCTCAGTGGTACCTGCAGGGGCGGGAACAGCTGGGCAGGGTCAGCCAGTGCAGAGCAGCCCCCTGCCCCCCCCACAGTGGGATCGACTCCTTTCACACGCCCCATTTGCTGATTTTCATCCCTGGGCGCCTGGCAAACAGCTCCGACGCCATCCACCGCCTGGCAACAAGCTGCCCTCAGCTGCACAGGAGGCCTTGGCTCCCCGGGGGGTGCCCCCGGCACAGACAGGCAGAGTCGCCGGAGCCGGGCGTCGGTTCAAGTGAAACGTTTTCAATCTCACCCAATTTGTCTCCTTTTTGTTGCTGTCGTCATTACTCTGATTAGCGTCAATTTCAAACCCAAACCTCGCTTCGAACCGGAAAACGGAAATTTTTCATTTTGAAAATTATTTCATCTCCTCCCCCCCCACCCCACGCAATTTTTTCCCCCGAGTAAAACCAAACATTCCTCCGAACCGAATCGGCCTTGGCTGCAGTGGGGATCTGCCCCTCACTCCAGCCCCCAGTGTGGAGCCCTGGGCCCCAGTGTCTATTCTCTGCTGGCCACGGGGCAGGGAAGGTGAGGGCTACACAGGGCCCCTTCTCCTCTCCCCTGCACGTACCCACCGTGCTCTATAATCCCACCCGAAGACGCCCACGCCAAGGGGCTGCTCCTGGCTCACCAGACCCCTGACTCTGCTCTCCTTCCACAAGGGAAGAGACCGGAGGGGGTGGAGGCCAGAGACCCCAGGCAGCCGGGAGCGCTCGGGAAGGTTAGCCAGGAGGAGTCGGCCTTACCTTGTACGCTATTATTCTGGGCCACGGTGCCCCACAGGCACAGGGCGATGCAGAGCCCTGGAAGGCAAAGAGACAGGGTAAGGCACCGTGGGCAGATGATAACCACCACTCAGCTGCACCCGCCCCCCCCCAGCCGCCCCAGTCCTGCCAATCCTGGGCCAAGGGCCAGTCAGTGCCCTGACGATGGTGGAGTTAAAAATGCAGACACCTGGTGCTCTGGTAAATCAGCCCCAGCTGGGATCCCTGTTAATATTTTTAACTGGTTCCAGTTGGGAACTGGACTTTGGGCCAGGGCAACTGGGCCTTTTATTGTGTGTATTAGCAACAAAGACCAGGAGCCCCCACGTCAGGGCTGGATTTATACTTAGGGAGCCCCTAGGTGTAGGTCTCAGAGGTGTTCCCCGCCCCCCGGCTTGGAGCTCCGGGGGTCCCGCTGCCTGGAGGCGGCCAGGAGCAGCAGGGTACCCCTGCTGCCGGGAAGCTCTTAACTGCCACAGGCGGCAGGGGAACCCCACCACTTTTAACTTTTAGGTGCCCTGCCTCCCAGCACCCCCTTGCCCACTGCCCAGCGCCCCTCACCCCCTCTGCCCAGAGCTGCCCCCTGAACTCCCCCAGAGACTCACTCTCCCAAGCCCTGCCCCCCGGCCCACACTCACTGGCCCCCCCGGGAGGTGACGCTGTCTGCCAGGCAGAGCGAGGATCGCTCCAGCAGCAGGGCTGCGTGGGGCTGTCTCCCCCTCAGCCAGCCCTGCCCCCTGCTGGGACCTGGGAGTGGCAAAATTGGAATTTTTAGGCACCTCATAGAATGCCGGCACCCCTAGGCCCGTGCCTGCTGTGCCTAATTGGCAATCCGGCCCTGCCCATTGTGCCAGGTGCTGCACAGAGTCGACCGAGATCAGGGCCCCATCACACTCAGTGCTGCACAGACATACAGTGAGCCAGTCTGTGACCCAAAAGGCTCATGGCAATAGGCAAAGGAAGGAGCATTCTCTCCACTTTACAGATGGGGAAACTGAGGCACAGCGAGGGGTAATAACTTACCCAAGGTCACCCAGTGCGTCCATGCAATGGACAAACCCACTTGGAAAGGGGAAGCACTGAGGGGGATGGGGCGAAAAGACAACACAGGCTGCTTTTGATCGGCTTTTCACTCAGGTATCGCCCCAGATCCACCCCCTCCTGCCAGTGTTTATTTATAGCCTGTTGCCCTGAGTCATTACACACACGTGGGTGCGAAGAACCAGATGATAAAGGACCCGTGGGCCGAGTGCCCGAGGTGATGTGAAAAGGGGAAGCCCAGCGCGCGGTGGAACCCCATTGTGCTTTCCTAAGAAGGGAGCTAGAAAGGGGGCGCGGCTTTGAAATTCAGCTCTGGTCGATCTCCCCCGGGGAGACTCCATGGAGGACGAGGGAGCTGGGGAGCTGACGGCATCACATTCCCCTGGGAGCGAAGGCCGAGCCATTAATTCAGAGATTCTAAGGCCAGGAAGGGAGCAGGCTGATCCGGCCTCTCGCACTGCACGAGCCCGAGAACGACCCAGAGATTCCTGCATCCAGCCCGTAGCTGGGGATCGAGCTAGCGGAGAGCTTGAGCGAGGAGAGCCCATCTGTTCGACTCCATGTGATGGAGAAGCTGCCGCGCCCCAGGGCAGTCGTTCCCGAGGGTGACTCCTCTCCCCGTTAAAACACGAGCCTTAGTCCTGCCCTGAGAGGGGATGTGTTGGCTATTTGGGCTCTTTATAACAGGGGCAGCAGCAGGGCCTGTTCCCAGGCAGCCCCAGCCCCACTGGGACACACCCCACTCCACCCAGGGTGAAGGGCTTTGGCCCCTTGGAGGCCTTTCTTTTGAGATGGTCCATTGGTGCGGGGGCAGAGTTAGGAATAGAACCCAGGAGTCCTGAGGCCTACCCCTGCTCTAATCACTAGACCCTACTCCCCTCCCCTCCAAGTTGGAGAGAGAACCCAGGAGTCCTGGCTCCCAGCACCCATTCTAACCACTAGACCCTACTCTCCTCCCCTCCGAGCTGGAGGCAGAACCCAGGAGTCCTGGCTCTCAGTCCCCACTCTAACCTCTAAACTCCACTCCCCTCATCCCAGAGCTGGGCCGGAACCCAGGAGTCCTGATGCCCAGCTTGGAAGCAGGGCCAAACTCATTTCATACAACACCTGTCAGCAATTTTTAGTCTCCATCGTGGGCTAGACTGGAGCACAGGGGACCTGATCCCCAAGGCCAGGCCAGCCCCCCCAACACCTTCCCCCGCCCCCATCGAACCTTTGTGTCCACAGAGTGGCACTGCACAGCCTCAGCCACTAGGGGGCCCCACAGCCCCACACCAAGGCCCCAGCCCCAGCCTCCATGCCTGGGCTGGGTCCGGTCCCTCAACTGTCCCCCAAGTCCCCACAGTGCCTTAGCAGGAGAGTCACCCACACGCCAGGCACACACACCGCACACGCTCGTGTTCCCATGCACGCACACTCCGGCATGCACGCAAACGTGGAGACGTGTGCTCACCTTTGTGGACAAGTACAGATGTACATACTGGTGAGCCCACACCCACGCACGGGCACAGAGGTACAGACACGTGCGTTCACACGTACTGGCAGCCTGCTGTAGCCCCCAGGACCCTCCCTGCTGCTCAAACACCAGCCAGGCCGGAACGGCGGGAGAATACTTCAAACCCTCCTGCCGGGGAAGAGCTGCCGTGACTCGGCCCAGAGAGGAGATTGTGGGGCCCTGCCCCCTCTACCCCCCCAGGGACGTGGCCAGAATCCCCTATGCAGCCCCCCACCAGCCCCAGTTCAATCCTCTTAGCAGGGAATCAGTCCTCCCTCCCCGAGTATCCCACAGCCAGCGCTCCCGTCCCGCTCCCCACAGCGCCCCCTGCTGGGCGAGGCTGGATCTGGAGAGGCTGGGAGCTCCCGCCCCGCTCCCCACAGCGCCCCCTGCTGGGCGAGGCTGGATCTGGAGAGGCTGGGAGCTCCCGCCCCGCTCCCCACAGCGCCCCCTGCTGGGCGAGGCTGGATCTGGAGAGGCTGGGAGCTCCCGCCCCGCTCCCCACAGCGCCCCCTGCTGGGCGAGGCTGGATCTGGAGAGGCTGGGAGCTCCCGCCCCGCTCCCCACAGCGCCCCCTACTGGGTCAGCCCAGGGCTGCAATAATAATAATACTCCAGCATTTTAACCAGGGCTTGCTGCTGCTGCCCCTGGACTCCCCTGTAGCCGGCAGGAGCCAGGGTATCGCGCCACCCCCAGGCTGTCCCCTCAGGTGGCAACGGCCGGGCGCTGACCACTCCCAGTGAGTGCCGTCCTCTCCCACCGTGCTGGGAAGCCGTGAATCATGGAACAACCTCGGCCAAGAGCTGACTTAGGCACTCAAGTGACCCGAACTCCCCCGCCCCCTGGATTCCCATCTGGCCCCCCTCGACCCCTGAATCCAACCTGCCCCCCCTTGACTCTGGATTCCCACCTGAACCCCCAAACTGGCCTCCCTCTTCTCTGGGTCCCACATGGGCCCCCAGACCTCCAGACTCCCACCTCCCCCTGGGTCCAACCTGTCTCCCCTGCTCTCTAGGTCCGAACTGCCCCCCCACCATCAGCTCTCTGGATCCAACACATCTACCCTGGATCTAGCACCCCCCGCCAGACACGATGGGGACTCATCCCATCTGTGCTCCCAGGGTACGATCCAGCGCCCCCCTTCCAGGTCTGCCACCACCACAGACGCACCCTGGCTCCCCTGACATTTTAGGGCCCCACTGGGGGGAAGAGGGGCGATGAGCCATGTTGCCCACCCCCGGGAATGTCTCAGGCCATGTCTTAGCCGGAGGCGGGCGCACAGAATAACTGTCCCTTTGTCCCATCTGGCCCCTCCATGCCTTGGCCAGCAGCTGCCTCCCAATGGCCAAGAACATTTTCCCAGGGGGCAGAAGGGATGAAAAGGAACATTAAGGGGGGGGCGGGGTGTCAGGAGGTCTTAAAGAGATAGTGTGCAGATGGCCAGGGGTCCTCGCTCTGCCCCCCCCAAACAGCCCCGATCCTGCCCCTTGGCAGCCACAGCAAAGACACCCCTGGCTGTTTGGGGGAGGGGCGGGGGAATCTGAGCGTGGAAAGTTTGGGAGAGGGCTGGGGGGCAGGATTGGGCCCTCACTGAGCGGAGGGGGGCAGGAAGGTGAACGAGAGAGGAGCGGGGTGAGGGGCAGAGACCCAGAGGCCAGGAGACGTGCCCAGATCCGGCTGTGTCACCCCAGGGAGGGATCTGACCCACAGCCTGAGGTGCCTGGATGGGATGGGGGGGCGGGGAGCAGCACCCAGACTAGACCTTTCACCCCCAAGGGACCCATGGCGCTTGGCACCATCAGCCTGGGGGGGTGGGTGCAGGGTGGGGGGCAGAGTCTCCTCTCACTGCCCCCAGGAGTCACCCCATTGTAAACCAGGCCCAGTTACCATCACCTGTACAGAAGCTCTTCGTTCTCCTTTCCCATGTGGGGGTGTAAATCTGGAGTAACCCTGCTGGGAAACGGTGTAAGTGTGGGATGGATCAGGCCCTGTGCCCTCCCCCCAACCTGCACAGACTGTCAGCACTCGGGGACCCCCCCAATACAGCTCCATCGGAACCATCCCAGCCCCGAGGATGCCCCACCCCCGAGGTCAGTCTGGGGGGTGGAATCAGAGCCGCCCCCCACCTCCGGGGCACTGGAGGAACAGAGGCTGGTGCTGAGAAATGATCCCGGGACAAACGGGTGATTCTCCCCCTGACGCAATGGAAAGGGCTGCCCGACTCCCACAGCCGCGGCCCCAGACAAAGTGCAGACAGTCCCCGTCTCTGCCCTCCTCCATGCCGAACAGACATGTGATCGCCCTGGGGCGCTGGATCAGAGCCACCGCAGAGCCCGGGCTCCTGGCGGGAGGGAGGGATCCGGGCTGGCGTCAGTCTGGGCACAAACTCTGGGACAGGAGCACATCCCAAGGGGGGAGGGGCTGAGCTGATGGGGGTGGGGGGCTGCTCTGGGAATGGACTTTGGAAAAGTGACTCCCCCTGCCCCCACACGCACACACACGA